TCCCTTATTGCAAAATGTAATCCATTCGGGGTTACGCTTTGGCCGGACGTTTAAACAACAGCGGAAAGGTTCGGGCTCTATGGGAACAAACCGCACATCCGAAGTTCTATTTCTGCTCTATCCAGACTTTACAAAATCGAACCTCGGGTGCGGGGGCCGAATGGCAAGTGCCTCTACCGATGGCAGAGAGGTCAGCAGCGTTGCCCATCGACGGGCCGCGTTCTCCAGATTCCGCAAGGAATGAATGGGGCAGATGCTCTTAAGACCCGAACCGACAGCCAAGAGGGTCATCAATTTTTTAGCGCTCGTTGAGCGTGCGCCTCAGAGAAAGCACACCGGCGCACGGTGGATCGAGCCAATAGGAGAGGTCGGACAAAGTTTGGAAACCTCAAACGCTTATAACTCCGTTTATATAAAACTTTGAGGTTTTACAAATGGTTTCATTGGCTTCCTCGTGAAATTCTCTTCTAGAATAGCACCCCTTGCACTTTAAAATGTGACGAAATAATCATAAAAATTCGCAGTTTTTGTCGAAAATTCCGTATCCTACCTCTCTGATTGACTCTATCCACTGTGCGACGCTCCGCGTCCGCCGCGCCACGGGTTAATTGCGTTCGGAACGTAACGCGTCCCTGTTTGAATCAGTACTTTAAGAAGAGCGGGGTGCGGAAGTCCAATTTGTTTAGAACCCTCTTTTTTAACCTTTTTGGACCCTCCAGTTTGTTCTCACCCCACGGAACCGGAAGTAACATCTCTAGCGGCTGGTTCGCTTAAGGTGGAGTACCTATATTATACGGGAGAGTATTGCCATCTCTGTGCCGCTCTCTGATTGGTTCATCAGTTTTAAGCTATCATGGAGCTCCAAAGATGGCCCAATGTAAACAAATCCGACCTAGAGGAACACATATTATCGGCTGAGAAATGAATGATAATTACACTCAAAGGTTAATTGTAGGCAAAAATATCCATCAAAGTCCGATCCAAACTCAACTCAGAAGTTGAATCTAAACGAATTTCTATCGCATTCAAAATCACGTCTAGAACTTTATCGCCATCTTGTTTGTTTACATTGGGCCAAACTAGAAGCGGAGGGGCTGGGATTTGTTTACATTGGGCCAACTTTGGGGCTTCATGATAGCGGATCAATCAGAGAGCGGTACACTTTTCCGTAGTAAGAGGATTGAGATGGCAATACTCTCCCGTATGCAGGTACTCTAGGTTAAGGGTCACCATGCCCTTCACCGGCTGATGACCGTTGTCGTAGGTACCAGTATTCGACGGGTCTTCATGGGGCAGTATTTCGGCACTCTTCCTGTATGGGTGGTGCTTTTGGGCGAATTTTACCCCATTATAAAAAAAAGAAGAAGAAAAAACAAACCCGGCAGTTGTTCTTAAGTTAAACATGGAAGGAGCGGCTTTCCTTACTTCAAGAAGCGAGCTGCTGTGGGTACTTGAAGGATGGAGGCCCAATTGCTTCAGATTTTTTTCTCCCCGAATTTTTGAGCTCTCCGGTTTATTACCTCAGGAAGGAGCGGTAGTCCGTATTTTTCAAAACGAGCTAGGGACGCGTAGAAAATGTAAAGAGACTGCATACGGGCGCATAGGAAATATAGGTAGTTTTTTATTCCTCCCGATAAAATTTCAATTTTTTCCGCCATCCCAAAAAAATTCTTTAAAAATTTCATGCAAAAGGTCCATTAATTATTTTCCTCTTATTAAATATATGTATAAAGTAGTAATTGCGAATTTTGAAAAACCGCAATCCCCCGGTAAAAATTGGCGATAAGAGCTGCGTTTCAAAATACCATAGGAATTCTTATAGTCGGCTAAAGAAGGCTACAGAAAATCATATAGCTGGCTGTAGAATGCGGAGAAAAACATACGGCCGGGCTATGCGAAGTGATAAAAAATTATGCAGCTGGGCTACAGTTCCTATCGCCGGGCTTTACACTTTATCGCTTGGCTGTTGCTTTTTCGCCATCGATTATAAAAGGCTATAAGAAATTGTGTAGACATTCGTGTGCTTTGGAAATCATTAAGTTTGATACGGAACCACCTTAATATTTACAAAACACACATTATATTTTCCTTTAATACATATTTTTGTTCATCAATTAAAATAAGAATAATCCATACAGGATGTGCAAACATTTCAAAATCATGAGTTGAATAAAGCTGACTCCGCCGGATTAAATATTAGAGCCTAACACAACGTGGAGCGGCGACGACGCACTGGCGCCTACAAACCTAACAGGGATACTTTACGCATTGCGCAACGCGTGAAGTATCCCTGTTAGGTTTGTAGGCGCCTATGCGCGTTTCGCGCTGGCTGCCCGCCTGCCGCGCCGGAGCAGCGTGCCACAGCGCTTGAAGCAACTATTTCACACCAGAGGTTTTGCACAGTATCATACGAAACTGAAGGCGCTCTAATATATTAATAATGGCAGGCATCCATCAAAAATACGGAGCTTTCCTCGCAAAATAGACCAAGATACTACGCCCAAAAAAAAGAGCAGTATTCCAAAAACTCACTAAGTCCTAGCATCCGTAATTAGTAAAGTTTAGCATACACTTTTTCGCCTGGCTGTTGCTTAATCGCCATCGGCTATAAAAGGCTATAAGAAATGGGCCTATTGCAAACTTTTGCTAGAGCAAAACTAAGAGTTATTTCCTGCAGATAATGCCTCAAAAATCACGATGAGCGCATCGGCAAAGTCTGAAATGCACTCATAACTTCACAATCTGCGTAAGATTTTTGCGGTTTTTTGAGCTTCCCGCTTCGAAAACGATACTACGATACAGGTGAACATTTTGTTAGAGGAGTCGTTCCATTGGCGACAATACTCATCATGGCCGACGCCAGTCCGCCAAAACACGTGTGATGGGACGAGATAACACCTGAACAGGATTAAACCATATAACAATCGGCGTGTTTACGTTCATATTTTCCTCGCCCGCCTTAATTGACCTTGAACTCTCCTCGAATTACGCGAGGAACTGCGCAAGCGTCGGCCATGATGAATATTGCCGACGATGGAGCGACTCCTCTAACAAAATGTTCACCTGTGCAGTAGTATCGTTTTTGAAGCGGGAAGCTCAAAATAACGCAAATTTCTTACGCAGATTGTGAATTTATGAGTGCATTTCAGACTTTGCCGTTGCGCTCATCGTGATTTTTGAGGCATTATCTATAGGAAACAACTCTTCATTCTGCTATAGCAAAAGTTTGCAACAGGCCCATTGTGTAGCCGGCTATAAAGGCTATTGGAAATCTTACAGCCGGCTGTAGGTCTATGGTATTTTGGATCAGATTCTACTGCAAATGTTTACCAGGGTCGATATCCATGGCTTTGTGGTATCACCGTCGATATGATATTTCCACACATATTTTGATAGCGCGGACCAACATACAAAACCGGGATCTTCTGGATCTTAAAAAATCTTCCCGATCAAATCGCTTGTCGGTCGATAATTATTGAAAAAATACCATTAATTTAGCTGAAAATCAATGGCGAAAACGGGTGCGATTACAAAGAGCACAACAATGAGTCAGAAAAATTATAGGGAGATGGTGAGTACTGCTGCAGCTAAGGGAACTACGTCAACAATCAAAAGTGACGACTAGCGTGTCATGGAGCATTAGAGCTTTGAACCTCCCAGCAGCAAGAAATCAGAGAGCTCTTATTGATACTTTAAGGTCATCGCTGAGCTAATCAGGGAGCTTTTTTGTCATTGATACTTGAGACATGGTCTTAATGATACCGCCTTTCTGCAATGACTCAAAATTATGAGGCCACTTTCCCAGTCCATTGCTTGATTCAGAAAAGTGAGTTTTTCAGTTCGCTTTCTCCTTCCTCCTTCCTCAGGTCATTCTAAACCTCCATTATTATTTCACGCACTCATTTAGTGTCTACTTCAGAGAAAATTCCTTGCTAAAGTGTACATGAGGAGCTTGGAGGACAAAGTGCATAAGTGCAGTTTTTCCTATTTCGAGATATACGTGTTTGTAGTTTCGAAATTACATAGATCCTTATGGCGGAAAGAAAGTTCAAATTAACTTTTTGATGCTTAAAAATTGGAATTTTGAAGCGAATTATTAACAGAATATGCATTAAGACCGGTTTTACTTGAAATCATCAATATCTCAATTTTTCAAAAACTGCATTTATGCGCCTTTTCTTCCAAGCTTCTCACATTGACTTGTCGTTTCATTCATATTCTTAAGTGATTCTAAGTGATCGGGGGACGAAATCCGCCATTGAGAGCCAATGTAATCTTATTGCACGAATTATAAAAAGGAACTGAACCATAACGTGTAGAAGCATCAATACCTACTGAGTGGTGTGGCATCATCTTTGTGAAGATTCATTGAAAATTTACGCTGAAAACTTCCATAATGGACGTAACGCATTGACTTGTCAATGTGTAAAAGAGAAGTGTGTTGCTATAATATCCCTCTCTTAAGCATTGAGTAAATAAGCGACGCGACGTCCATTATGGAAGTTTCCGAAATTATTCAATGAACTCTCAAAAATAGGATGTCATACTTCTCAGTATTAATGCTGCTACACATTATTGATCAGGTCCTTACCTTAACTGGACGTATTTCTATCAAACGGAACTAAGCGCCATCGGGTAAAGAAGGGAAAGGGGGGCTTGGATTGGCGAGTGTTACGGAACGCGATGCTCGTTCCGTCCTATACTCACAGTGCTTTTCCATGGCGCTCAGTACCGTTTGACAGAAGGCGCTATCCGGGATTCAAAAATTCTCAAAAGGAACTCAATTCGGCGCTCAGTTCCGTTTGATAATAATACGTCCAATTTGTACTTTACAGTGATCATTATTGCCTCGCAAAGACACAAGTACACACAGTTATGTAGCACAGCAAGGTTATAGCGGATCTCGTCCTGAGATAACTCAGAATCACCTTAAAGGTAGTCTAGCCAACATCATAACATATGAAACTTACTAATTTTCCTTGTCTGTTCCTTATTCGCAGAGTAAAGGAAGCACGCTAGGCGTAAAAGGTGACGGCCTTTCAACGTACTACAGCAGCAACGACTACCCGAACCGGTACGCAACGGCGACAGCAACGACAGCAAGTCCGGCTCTACAGCCCGTCTACGACTCTTTCTACAGCCCGATATTGGAGAGGATCGACGACGTTCTCCTCGGCATGGGCGTCTCGGACGAGCCCTGCAAAGAGAGGGTTATCTGCAGCATGTACAAGACCCCCGCTCGATTCAGCCCGCACAGCAATCTCGTCTCCGCTGAGCTTAGCCGGTATAATCATCTCTCTTTTGCAGTTTTACGTCAAATAAAGAACAAACAAACAAAAATAATCAAAATCCTTGAGTAATTTTAATACAGGTGCCGTCCACGACAAATAATTCTGGTCTAAGGTCGCAAATTTTTTGTAGAGCAACATTTTTCAAGCCGGCCAGGTTGGCCTAGAGGTCAGCGCGTCTGACTCTAGGTCAATAGATCCCGGGTTCGAATCCCGGTGAGGGGCGTCTAATTTTCACGGAAATGACAAGTAGATCTGCTGAAACGGATTCTTCTCGGCCTTAATCCCTGAAAATTGGAAAAGCCTGGAGCATGGAGATCCCACGATGTCTATGGACACTAAACATTGTCTGAAGTTGGCTGAAGGTGCTAGACAGGAAGCCATTAAACCAGCAGAAAAAAAAAAAAAAAAAAAAAAAAATTCAAGTTAGGTCGAAAAATCAGGAGATTTTCGAGGGCAGATTCCCTCGAGTTCTTGAATGACAAGTTGCCCAGCGGCTTAGTTAATTTTCATACCGTTAGATGATGCACAGTTGCATTGGGATCCGCCTGTGATGTGTCCTGATCATAAAGGGTCTGAATTTTTAAAATGTTCAAAACCCTGAGGTACGTTTTTTCAACTTTGAACCGCCAAATTTTCGATTTGGGCCGACATTTCTGAAAATTTTCGTCCCAAAGTGTGTATAGAACATACTGTATGTTTTGGTATCAATAACTTAATTTTGAATGTTCGCACATCTAAGTTTTAAATATTGAAAACTACCTCATCGTAATTTACATGGCTCAAACTTCAAAGTTTGCATTATTTAGTACTAACAATACCTCATCATTTGCTAAAGAGTCGTACTTTGCATAGCTGTACCACTATAATCAGCTATGAATTCAAACTAAATATTATGAGTGAGGCCATTCTCATCGTGAGGTTCCCTCACTAAACTCACTAAAAAGACCGCATCTCACTAAAATTCTCGCGTCGTTGCCTAAAATTGGTACAACTTCTCGAGAGGTTCAATTTATGCTTATGACGCAGTTACTGAATGAGTCAAAGAAAAACTGCCAAAAATAATTAACATCTATCCCATCCTCGTGCTGGTGAATATGCAGTATGCACGCAAAGTTCAGCAGACTCGACACGCTAGGTGAGCAGACGGAGACCCTGGTGGGACAGGAATGGAATGTCTCAGAATTAATTCATTTGCCGAAAGAGATAAGTTCGAAATTAAAACTTAAAAGAGCTTGACATTGTCAGTCATTATGCCGATGGTCCAGTTAGATAGGTCAAGGCGACCTGCGGAACGGTATCCATGTTGCCACATCGAGGTGCAACCTGAGTCTTCATTCCCTTGTCCGATCTAATTAGTTCAGGAAGCGAGAATGCCGCTCCTATATTCATGCAAGAGCTATTTTTTATTCAGTAAAAAATCAACAACCAATGGACTGCTTTTTATGTTTCCTTGTATGTGGCTTCTGTCTCTAAGAACTGATTGAATCGGGACGTGAGAAAACCGCTGAAGTCCATTTTTCCAATCTTTAGTTTTTTTGAGTTGATAAATACTTTTCGGAGTTGGATGAAACCACGAAAGTGGCGTTAATACTCATCTCCGCGTTACCTTAATCCCAAAACGAGTCCTTTCATCACTTTGATGGTTATATCAACTCTTTGAAATTATTATCAACTCAAAAAAACTGGACTGGAAAAATGGACATTATAGCGGTTTTCGCACGTCCCGATTCAATTGAAAACTGCGGTGAACTGTTACTTTTGATCATTACATTTTTTCACTTGAGAGGTTGCTAAACAATTAGCGACAGGACGTTGAACTCAACTTTTGTCCCATTGTGTTAAATTGCTGAGAGCATTCGTAGAAAGCGGGATCGCCAAGATATATTTTCCTGCGTAAGTAACTGTGCCAGTTTTTTTTTTTTGGTGCATTGAGGCGCTGGGTGCAGAGAGGGCATTTCTTGATTGCGGTGTCTTAGGAGCTACGTTAACGTTTTATCCACTATAATTAAAGGAAATGCATGGAATTCGCTAAAACTGTTATTGGATTTTTTTTATGATTTTATGATTCTGAAAGCTAAGAATTTCAGAACATTCGACCGATAGTTTCCCCTCTAAAACATAAATAATAAGCAGTGGAGATTCTGAAACACCGCCACCAAGAAATGCCCTTTCTGCACTCAACGCTTCAATGTCGAAATTTATCAGAACGACCATTTTTATAATAAAAGGTGTTTCTAAGGATCGTTCATTGAATTATCATATTGTGTCACTGATTTTCAGAGATCCCACGGAGCTTCAAAGGCCATCTTACACAAACGCAGCAGTGGTGCGCTTCTACAAGTACGTTCAAGCTGCCCGAGATGGTCAAGACTTCAAAGACTGCTTGCGACTTTACCCGAGCTGTGCCATCAAAACAGAGTGAGACAGGTACGAAACTTCATCTATACAACATAGAATACGTCTGCAGCAGACACCATCTCACCTGAAATATTACAATCACATCCGTTTCATGAAGGATATATGACCTGGGAAGCAAGATAGTTGTTGAAACACGCTGCCGCTGAATTTTGAAAGTTTCGAGTAGGAGCGATTTCTGAGTGATGATTTCGTGACGAACTATATTTAACTGTTTGTGTTTTTGAAGTTCACTCCAATAAACTTCAACCAGTTCAATAAATAAATCCTTGTCATGGCATCACAATTTTTCTTTCAAACTCTGATCAGTTTAAGTCAAAGTTAAAGTTATGGTAATGGGTCAGTAAATTAATGCATCAAACGGTGCGTCTCAGAATTTTCTTCATGATTGCAGTTCTTGAGGGAAAATGATAGAAGTTTGTTTATTGAATGACTTTTTTCCTAATCAGTTGCATGGGAGTACAGTCTTTTTATTTGACGTATATTAATTTTTAAGAAGTACCTCAAAAGATTAGGCTTTAAAAAAGTACACAAGAAGATAGTACGCCGTCAAGAATCACCCCAATCATAGGTAAGTAGGTAAGAAAAAAGTGACTTCACTAACATTGACATCTTTACCCAACAGAGTTACATGTATTACTCTTTACATTAAGATTTATCAAAATACTGATTTACTACATGTGCCTAATATGAATAAAGATATCGTCTTTCATCAACATCGTGATTGAGGTGATGCCTTGGTGGTGCATATACAGAATGATTTGCTCCACCATGGTTTCAGCATATGCATGGTATAACCAGTCTAAATAAGTGTATCGCTGATTAATGAAACTATATCGGCGGTGAAACTACCACAGCACGTATCTCGTTTGCGGTGTTTAAAAAACTCCGCTCATATCTTATTTTTTTGAAGGAGAACAAAATACACAAACTGATTGCGGTGGATGCACGGGTCGTAAGACAGTATGTTGGAGTTTTTTGCCAAAAAAAGCAAAAAACTCCAACATATAGAACGAAACATTATGATTTCTTAAAATTTTCGCAGAGTTTTCTCCGTACAGAGAAGAACATCGAGGAAGTTTTAAATAATTGACTTTGAGTAGTTTTCCATTTAAAAAATTAAGTGTTACAGGAAATCTGCAGCATCGCAAACCGAGATACGTGGTCTGGTACTTTCACCGTCGATATGGTGAAGAAGATAGTCGTGAGTCTGAAGCGGATTGATGCGTCTGTGGTTCGCATTTTCACGGAGGATAGGATCAAAAAATGAATTTTTCAAAGGTTGATAACTCAATTTATTTTGAAGGTGGTGCGCATTAGAGTTCAAAAATTTATTTTGACACCAATTAAAATTTTTGGAACTTCTTGGCTTTGATTTCCCCGCGAAATGGTGTGGACCCAGCACCATTTCTCCACCTTGTTACATAGAGTTCCGGGCCACTTCTTAGTGTTTTATTTTTTTATTTATTTTGAAGTAAAATGGTAAAAATTAAGCGTAAATACGGGCTGCAACCCTTTAATGCAAGTCTGAGATGCGCATATCTGACCCCTATGACGTTTCTGAAGTTTTAATATTTTGGGTTTTTATGCACGAAAAAGGTATTTTGGCGAGAGAAGCCAAGGTATTATTCCGTGACGATTCGGTAATGATTCTCGTGTGCGAAATTACAAGCGAGTTTGATGGAGAGTGAGTCACAAATTTGTATTATGAGCGGATCTGAACGGCTAAGTATGAAGAAATGAATATTCTCAATATGGAATATGCTTAAGTATACAATACTAAATGTTGTTTTTTTCCGAAAATCAGCAAGCGTTGCTCAAAGTTTGAATACCTCTTTAAAGCACCACGTGCATTATGGAACCTAGTTTTTGTTATGAATTACCGAAATCAAAATCCAGGTGATCTGGCACACCGAGCAGATTCATAGACATGCTCGTATTAACGACGGAGCTCTTTTGATTTTTTTCCCCTTGAATTTCAATTGATTTCCTTTGTTTTATGAATTTTTCAGCCCATCTGAATCACAAATCACCTCTATAACTCAGGGCAATTATCGTCATTGGGACGTCATCGCACTCCATTTTCAGGGAATTCTACGGAACTTCATTGAAATTTCCATGGAAGATATTTTAAAAAGAAGACTGTATCCCTCAAAATAGTTTTAAAATGAAAAGGAATCTTCAAAAACCTTCTTAAATAACAATGAAAGTTCTTCGCAATCAAAGGACAATTGTAGAGACCACGATAATGTCTATTGGGCTCTTTTTTATTTTCTATTTTTCCATTAAAGAATGAGACCTTTTTCATTTCAGACAATAATGAGAAGCAGAAAAGCAACAACCTAGACTATCAAGAATAATATCTTTTCAAGCATTGATTGCAGAGATAATTGAACATCAGTTGTAAACTTTTTTTTGCTTGATTAAGTATTTAAAAATTGGAATTCGACTGAAAATTTGACAATTTTGCAACCTGTCTACATGTTTTGCTCCTGTCCTGACTCATACGCACAGTTCAGTATAGGTTTACTGTAACGAATTCCAAAGTCATCTTAAATAATATAATAAGACTGATTGGTGTCAATTGATAAAAAAAAATAAGTAGGTAAGTGAAAAAGGCGTACTTGATTTCACAATTATTGGCATAGTAATGTCGTAATTTTAGTGCCTATGGTGTTTTCGAACAAGTTGACTATGCCATCTGTGACCGTGCGTAGTTTATGCAGGCATATGAATAAATATCATAACTGACGCAATTAGATCACAAAATAATCAATCTGTCGTATAGGTAATCGATAGGATACAAAAAGGTCCCAGTAATGATAATAATTCCTCATACATATACTTTATGCGTGAATCTACTCAGGGTCAAAAGTGTGAAAGATTTCGGACGATTTAGTATTATTTTTCAATTAATTTGTTCCAAATCTTAAAGAATTCTATAAACTAAAGCAGTGACACTTTTACATCTGTTCTGTTGTCGTGAAATCACCCGCATATATGAGACCCATCTTTCCCCACCGATATCATTCAGTCTTGGCACTTAGAATGCGGCACGGACTGAGACGTTTTCGGTTTACACAATTTGAAAAAAAAAAACGAATTGAGGTGGATCGGTATATTTTGGAAATCAGATGCAGTTTAAATGGGTTTATTTAATATCACCTAAGTAATCTGTATGCAGAAAGTGTTCATACGGCCAAAAATGGACTAAATGCGAATATATCGTTCACAATTACGCGTATTTAAGGAATAATGTGGCCTTCATTCGAAATGTTGATAAAATTTTCAATTTTCATTGGTCTTCAGAATTTTGGTGTGTTAACTTTAGTTTTACACTGTTAACTGTTACAAGAGGTATTGATAAGTGGTTAAGAAATTTTGCTTGATAATGGCACTTACTTTCTTATCGGAGCGGTTTGTGCAATTTAGAATAGATCAGCCAAAAAGCACTCGCTTCACAATAATCGAGCAATTTCATTTCGATAGAAAAGCATGCGTGTGAGTAGCAGCTTCTGATTTGAGGCTCCTCTGATTTTGTGCATTGAGACGTCCTCGAATGAAGCGTCACCGAAAGAAAAACAGGAAAGAAAGAAACAAATCAGCAACTTCGTGTTAGTATCAGAAAAGTATCCACGAAATTTCATACCCTGGCATTTTTAGATTCAACTATAGTTCTTACGACGTCCATGTAAAACTTCCTTTGTCATGCCTTAAAACAGCACACTGAACATAGTATTTTGCCTCATTTTATCAAGTTATCTCCCATTTTTTCCTGTTAAGTGTAGACTTGTCGATTCTCTCAGGAGATTTTTGTACAACGTGTCAAATGATATTTATCGTCCGACACGCACTTATTCTTGAGGTGAGGTCCTCTTTTGACCGTAGCATCTGAAAATCAATGTAGTTACAAATAGCATAAATTAATCAATCTCTGATTAAAACAATTACACCGCTGTTTGGTATTTTGTAATTTTTATTCGTGTGCCTTTGTCAAAATTAAGCCACGTATGTAGGCATTTTCAATGTATTAATTTATTGAATTTTACTAATTTATTTGTATATAGTGTAAATAAAAATTTATTTATTTACTGGATGTTTTTTTTTACTTTTACTTGCACCTGAAAGGGCCCACATTTGAATTTTAACCCAGCCGTTGACAAATAACACAGACCAACGGTAAATTCAGTGGCTACGAAAAATATAGGAGGTAATGAATTTGATTTGAAGAACATCATTTGAAACCATTCTTCATTTTTTCAAGGATGAGGAAACTGAAAAGAGAGATTTTTCCCAGAAATATCGAACAATTAGCAAATCCATGTCTAAAATGCATACTGAAGTTGTTCTCACACTCTTTCTTATATCAAAATTGACAGCGAAAATTATCCAACTTGCTGTTGGAGTTTCGTCTCAATGAAAAATAAAAATCTTCAATGCCCTTATATTTGACCGTCCTCAAGAAAAGGGACCTTCGAGGCAAAACTTTTAGCGGAACGAATGATGACAAGTCGGATCGGAAAATCAGATTCTGAGATTTCCAAAAGAAAAATTTACCTAAAATATAATCAGTTTCAAACGATTTGGTTCATTATAATTTGTGTGATTTGTGCCCATGTATAACATTTTGCATCAAAACACTGCAATTGCATGTCGAGAACATGGACAATATTAGAATTTTATAAAACTATCCTGGAAACTGCGCTTTCTGAACTGCTATCTTTGAATCGTCATAACTCCAGTTCGGTTTAATAGTCTGGACTGCCATTACAATACATCATTTATTCCGCATAGGTACTCCGTATGTCCCGGTATTAATATATGTTTCAGCTTTCAAGGACTTGAGGTCCGGGTCTAGGTGGGTTGCTGCAGATAGAGCGGGCTCATGTAAGGAAAAGGTGTATCCTATCGATAGCCGCAAAAATAATGAAAATCGGTCCGATAGATCTTCAGAACGAACTGTGACGAAAAATAAAATTTACATTGTTTAAATGTGAAGATTCGTAACTTTATCACGTTGTATAAACCAATCTGGGTCCTACCTCCAAAATTTGAACAGAATGGGCTTATACATATAGAATCTGTCACCTGTTAATATACATGCAAAAATCATGAAAATAGACCCAGTAGAAAACAGTAGAAAGAGCTACGACAAAAATAAAAATTCTGCCAATCAGAGAGCTTATAGTAATAGTAATGATGTAAAACATTCATTTCAGAAGCTGAGCATGCGATTCGCACTTGAAGACACAAAAATTCTTTGTTTTTCCAATTAATTTTCTTTGTTTGATTTCATCTCTCATTTATATGAAAGTGAAGGATTACAAATGAGTATGGACAGAATGATGTCTCCGGACAATATGGGTATTGACTTTCATCGTTTTGTAGCGTTCGGCTGACATTTCATCATTAGAAAAATATTTTTCAGCGTGTTCATATATTATGGAAATTTCCGGTAATATTCATTATAAAATTTCATGATTTTCAATGAAATAATTACAATTCTGCTACCCCGGCCGCTTATTTTCATCACAGCACCCAAGAAAGTGAGGGGCTAAAGTTCCACAGACCTCCGCTTCCTTCCTCCCTCCCCCCTCCAATCCACACAATTGATCTTCGGTAACTTTTCTCTCTTCGACCTCAGACTCCTTAAAGATTCCAGATAACTTCGACGGAAAAAAGTATGCGTTGGGAAAGCGTAGCCAAAAAGCAAACCTCGATATTTAGAGTTCATATTGACATTGTTTAAATAGCAAAAATAAAAGGACGTCATTTTCGTGTAATCTATACATATCGACGGTGCGGTGTCTGGAAATCTACGCCGCAATGTTATTTTTTTAAAGGAGAACAAATTGACATCATTCCTTGAAGTTTTTGCAGAATTTTCTTCGCATAGAGAAGGAAAAAAGTATGACAGGAAGTCTGCGACGTCGCAAACCGAGTTATGTGATTGCCGACTTACACCGTCGATATATATATAACTTCCAATTAGTCTGTGTTGAAAATACGTATACTCATTAATATTTCGTTCAGGAGAGGAGATAATTTTCAAGCCCCCGATTGTGTGGATCGGTTTCTCCAAAATATTTTGAAGAAAAATCACGTGACGTCTTTATCCAGCTTAAACTCTGTCTCGTGGCCCGTTGTATCACTTTTTTGGGAGGCAAGAGGAACACCTCATCCTATCTTTCCCCCTATACCGTATGAGGATGAAAGAGAGTCTCTTGATGTATCGTGGGGGAAAAACCAGGAAAATGCCCACCCTTTGTTATGTCACGCTCTAGCTAAGGGTCACAGAGGCAAGCACCGTTACATATACTGAATCGCCCGGTTTTTATGAATGCGAAGAGATATGACGATATTGTCGATATCTCACTTTTCATCAACATGGGTAATTATTGTTGAGAAAGGCTGTCATGCCAGGCCTTAAATTTGGACAATGTGCGGCTGTCGGACGAATTTATAATCTTGAGGGGTGGTGAAAACCCGATCTAACTGTACATGTATAGTTATCCTCAACCCTTACCGAGAAAAACCCTAGCGTCAGTATACTCAAAAGTCAGCGAGAGGTAAAGTGTTAATATATTGTGCGCTTAGCAGGTTTTCGCGCTTCAGACTTTTCAAGTTACTTATGTCGTGCGTGGTGATCTTCAATGTAATAAGTCATTTCTCTATGAAACTTTTGCTTATTAGTTTAATAAGCTTGTTTGACGTCATTTTTTTCCTAACAATGTAACTGATTCTGTGCGGAGTGTCCTGTTATCGTGTATGAACTGTATGGTGTTTTTTTGGATATTCGATTTCATCGTTCTCTTTGATCGGAAAAATGAGTGATTCTTGGCGGCCTTGGACAAAGGTTAGTAAGTAACGTACTGTCTTTAGAGTTATGTATTCTTCCAATTAATTATGCAATCAATAAGTTTTATCTATGGAAAAACTAACTCTGACCTTAATGAATGGGTATATAATTGTCTTGGGAAACCGACCTTTCCGGTAATGTATACACGGTGCTGATGGTGGCATTAAGGTGATTCGATGGACGCTGTATTTTGTGTCAGAACGGCATGCAATATACCGCATGTCGTTTTGACACAAAATATGTCCATCGAATCACCTTACTTAAATGAAGAACGGAAATTTAAAATCCGGTAGACACCATTAGGTATTTTTGAAATCATGCGCAGTATTCTTCGCTAAATGAATTTTCCCTTCGGACATTTTCCTCTTAATTCCAATTTTATTCACATAAAAATAATTCTTCTCAGGTCATTAGAATCTATTTACAAATAAAATTATGATCACTCGATTTTAGCAGCAAATTATTGCGCTCACACGGTTTTGAGTTTTCACTCATCAAATGGACATATTCGTGATAGACATATCTTGGTATAGGGACACCCATCAGCAAAGTAAGTAGGCGAACCGCTGAAGAATGAGATCAGTGTTAAAAACTCACAGGCGCCAACGCGCCAAATGCGCCTAAGAAATCGGCCAGGGCACCTAAGAAATGAATGTTCTGCGCCAACGTGGCCCCCAAAAATGCCCCCCCCCCCAAAAAAAGTTTTTTTAAGTAATTTCCCTGTTCGGTGATTCCTCGAATTTCCCCCAAGTTACAGCCACACGTTCTTTAACTAAAACATCTTGCGTAAAACTTTTCACTAAATGCGCCGTGATTTAAAGGCAAATAGTCAGTTCGGCCCCTAAAAAATCTTCTATGGCACCTGAAAATCGAGCTTGATGCGCCACAAGACTCCTAAAACTCAGAGGTGAGTTTCGAACACTAAAAGAGATAAACACATGAGTCAATTTCGGGAAAAATGAGCTTTTGCCTTTTTAATTATAGGGAACTCAGATTGAACTGCTCTTAAGTTTAAGTTGCATTGAAGGAAAATAGATTTAAACGCAAAATCTTATTTTACGTAGGTATATACAAATGTGTAAAAGCCGCTTTTATAGCGCTCTTTGGCGCTCTGCGACACCTAGCCGCCAAAGTTTCCTATCCTTCCAAAGCCCTTCAGGGAGTTGGCACTCCCTCATCTCTTCTAAAACCTCCTGTCGCCACCCTTTCTACGTAGTTACCCTTTTTAAGTAGGCGATATGTACTGGTGATATTACTCTAGGGCTAGGGGTGAATAGATAGGACGTACTCCAACATACTCATTCTCTACATGATTTCTCTAATTCGCGACTCCCCCCCTAAAAACAGAATTGAAACTATCACTGTCTGAAGCTATATCGCTCCTTGACGATATCAGAGACAAAGACAAATAACCCTTTTTTTCTTCAAGACACTCTTACCATAGTTTTCAAATAACTCGTAGCATTTCGACGGCGCAACACCCAAACCACGTATCTCATTTAAAAATCAATGAAACCACTTCTGAAACCTCTACGTTTCATAGTAACATTGATTCTCATTGACTCGTCCCGTAGAGCGCTGCTGGTGAGGCGGTCAGTGTCGGAAGCCAAAACGCCTTCATTTCCGTGCATATGAAGCTCTATTTCTGTAACAAGTTAACTTAATTTTAGCGTTGCCTATTGCGCCGACGAAGTTAACCATCCCTAATTTTTATCGTGACATTGTCAATTTTACAAAAAATGCATTACTCAAAAGTATTATAACATTGCCGCCCTTCGAAATAGAATAAGAATAGAGATGTTGCATGTGTGAGGAATTTACGATTTGACAGTTGATTCTTACGTAAAAGTTAGCGCGAAACACGACGGTAACAGTGGTTTTCTCTAAAATCAACTCCCAAGCTCAAAAAAGCTCTTAAGTTGAGGCCTTAATGGAGGGGATATCCCGCGCTATCCTAATAGTCCACCTTTACATTAAGACGAACTCTCCACGCAAAGATAGGGAGCAAATATATTAGCAGGGTTGCCGTGTTTTCAGTTTTTGAGTCCCAATATAAAGTGGCAGCCCTGTCAATGTATTTGCTCCCTATCTTTGCATGGAGAATTTGTCTTGATGTAGATGTAGACCCTCAGAATAGCGCGGGATATCCTCTCCATTTTGGCCTCAACTTGAGAGCTTTTTTTGAGCTTGGGAGTTGATTTCAGAGACAATCAGTGGCATCATCGTGTTTCTCGCAAAATTTTGCATAAGCATCCACAGTCAAATCGCAAATCCCTCACACATCGATGGTGAAAGTGCAGAGGTGCGTATCTCGATTTTTGACAGTTTTGAGTTAGCGTGCATAAACGTGTAGTTGAAGATGTCGTCTATCAGCCAGCAAGAGATTATAATCGAAAAAAATCGGGAAGTCACCTAAAACCGTAGAACTTTTTTCGCGTATCTCGGGCTTAAGTGCAGGAATGCGTATGTCGTTCAGGCCTGTTCATTTTTCGGCGCGCCTTACGCACAACCAATCACAACGCGCACTCCTCAGCAGCGTTTCCCGCCAACACCTCACATCAGCTGATCAGCTGTTCTGTGTTTGTTTTCAATGGTTTTCATTTATCTATCTAAAAGAAAAGTTGATGTGGATAAATGTGGATAATCAGGCAGTCCAGCATGCATAATATCAGTGAATGCTGGTGATAGGCCGATAGACGAGGGAAGGGGGGGATTAGGTACTGTTACTTGTCATTAATGTTGCATACGCTTGTAATTGAAGGCGGATTATCACTCGAGGGCCCTCCAGTATCATTTCCTCATAGGTATCTACTACCTACTAGCAGCGCGCGGCGTGCATGTCCATTTTTACTCTTTGGGCCAATGCAATCATGAACTGATTAAACTGACGGTTCATCACAACGGTCAGTGTTATTAGAGTCAATCCGGTCAAGCAATGCTTCATTTAGTGTATTGGGTCGACTAAAGCTTCTAAATAAGTTTTAAGGTTGAATAAATTCTATTTTTGATCTTAATGATCAAGAGTAGCTTCAAAACGCTAATTGCAGAAATGCGTATCTCGTAATCTAATGTCAGTTTCCAATCATACAATGCTTGATCCGGCCGTATGAGGTCAAACTAAAGCTTCTGATAAAGAATTGTAAGCATGAATAACCCTTTTTTCAGTTTTTAAATGATCAAAATCCGCCAACAATAGGTTTAAAACACTAATTGCAGAAATGCGTATCTCGTGATGAAGTGTCAATTCTTGGTGCCGAAAACGCGAATCTCGGCATTTCGGCCGTATTTTCTAACAGCGCGAGAAATTATTCAAAATATTGATGAAGTCTGAAAAAGCATCTTATTCTTGCTATCCTCAAGAATTATTACCCTTCTACTGACAATAAGGAGGAATGTACACAGTTTTTTTACTCTCCTGAAAAATCGTGTTTTTCGAGATACGCACTTCTGCACTTTCACCATCGACATGCAACATCTCCATTAGGTATCTAGGCATGATAAGTAGAGTTTCCTTTAATCTACTTAAATGAATTTGATCCTGGATTTTTTGGCGAAAAATCCAGGACATTGAGGTGGGAAATCCATTTTAGAGAGCTCTGAAATTATTTAAGTTGTCAATTTAACAGAACTAGATTTCGGTTGTACCAGAAAAGGCGGAGAGTTTGAATGGATTACTATCGATTTATTAGGTATTGATGGCTCAAGTAAAAAAATACGCCCCTTAGATTGCGACGTTATAAGCCTCCTCTCATATTTTGTTTCTTGAAAGGCAAATAACACGTTTTTCCGTTGAAAAGAACTATATTGTGCGCAAACCCTATGCACATTCTTTTCAGGAAAATTAAGTGTAACTGACGAACACTTCCTTTTTAAATTGTTTGTGAATTTTCTTCACTCACTCGAAAAATTTCACAGAAATTTTCGAGAAAAAATGCTGAATAGTTTTTCTTGAAAAAACTAAACGTAGTTAGACGCAGCCCTCATGTAGAGATGGAGAAATTTTTGTAAGATTTAACATGTGTTGTTTGTCGAATGATTTTTAATATATCTGATTGGACATACAGTGGCTTAGGTTTACTCATGAGAGGGTAGTATGAATTTCTTGACTCTAGTCTATAATATAAACACTATTTCTTCATTTTTCCGTTAGTTTCATATTTTTAGCGAGGAAACATAATTGTATCTTGTGGTATAATGATTCTTACATTTTCATTGGTCTCATTGGATCACAAATATATTTTCTGCTGGAAAAATTGAGAATGTCAGTCAAATTAGTAAAAATAGGAAGAAATAAAGGGAAAATGAAACACGCAAAATTTGAAAAATTAGTCATTTCAATAACTATAAGGATAACTTTAAAATTCACTAAATTTTACTAGAAATTGGCCAATTAGACACTTGGAGAATTAAACCATTAGTCGTATCCCGCACAAAAGAACTTGAAGTGATTCGATAGACGCCATATTTTGTGTCAGAACGGCATGCAATATATCGCATCAATTGGTTCCATTTTTTCAGCTACTTGTCATTTTCCTCCAATTTTGAAATCGCAATTCTGTTGTCAGGAGACTAAAGCACCCACTTACCAATTTTAACAAAGAAATTCAATGTAATAAAGGCGCCCTTTTTCTAGAGAGAAAACATCGCATTCGATACTGATATCGAAACTGCACTCGAATGCGATATTTTCTCCCTAAAAAAAGCACGCCTTTATTACGTCGAATTTCTTTTCTAAAATTGGTAAGTGAGTGATTTAGTCTCCTGACAACAGAATTGCGATCTCAAAATTGGAAAAAAATGACGAGTAGCTGAAAAATGGAACCAATTGATGCGATATATCGCATGCCGTTCTGTCACAAAATATGGCGTCCATCGAATGACCTTAACTTCATTACTACGTTGCAAAATTTCTACTGATAAATTGTATTTTCACTCGATTATACCTGAAACTTTCACTAGTTTTGCTTCTGTTTTCGCCAGAAAATGAGTTAAATTTTGGACAAAAAGTGCTCAGTGATTTTCTCGTAAAAAATTCAATTGTTTGGGTCAATTTTATGACTTTGAATGGAGTTACGTTCTTTCGTCTGGGAAAAGACGAATATGTATTGGACGTCAGGACGGAATCAGCCTGACTCCATCAAACGTTGCCCAATTTTTTCGCGGGTTTAAATTTTTAGACATGAAAATGAAGCAACATCGAAATTTGAAATTTTATGAGTTCTATACCTAAACTGAATAAGCCAAGGGAAATTCGCATACAATTTAAATGCGTCAAGTAATTTAGATTTCAGTTCGAAAAATAAATCAAGAGAGAAAAGTAGACAATGTGAAATGTTGTCAGGCTCATCTGATTAAATATTTCCTATTAGACTCTTTGCATTTAAGATGATTCGATGGACGCCATATTTTGTGTCAGAACGGCATGCGATATATCGCATCAATTGGTTCCATTTTTTCAGCTACTCGTCATTTTTCTCCAATTTTGAGATCGCAATTCTGTTGTCAGGAGACTAAAGCACCCACTTACCAATTTTAGAAAAGAAATTCAACGTAATAAAGGCGTGGTTTTTTCAGAGAGAAAACATCGCATTCGATACTGATATCGAAAGCGATATTTTCTCTCTAAAAAAACCACGCCTTTATTACGTTGAAATTTTTTGTTAAAATTGGTAAATGAGTGCTTTAGTCTCCTGACAACAGAATTGCGATCTCAAAATTGGAGAAAAATGACGAGTAGCTGAAAAAATGGAACCAATTGATGCGATATATCGCATGCCGTTCTGACACAAAATATGGCGTCCATCGAATCACCTTAAATGAATTTTGATTGGGAGAGAACTCCATCTATTTCTCACGGTATCTATATCCGATCTCTGTTCCAGGCAAAAGGAGCCGACCCACGTACACCCCTTGATCAGTTACATCCAGATGGACATCAGGTGATGGAGAGAGAACCTCTATTCGACAGTGATATACTTGCCCTGGAGTGGTCCTCGGACAACAGCTCTACGCCTGATTCGTGTGACTCGCCTGAAGGATGTTCTTGTCCCTCGCCTGGAGGATGTTCCTCGCCTAAAGGATGCCTCTCTCCTGAAGGATGCCTCTCTCCTGTCTTAATGAAGGATGCTGCGACTCAAACAGACAGCGAAACCTATGAACTCGCCTTGCACGCATTTCCATACGTTTGTCGTCTCTGTCCGCGCCGGTTCGAGACTAAAATAAATTTGATCTTCCACGAAGCTATGCACACAGGTCCGGAAGAAAGTACTGCCACTCAACCGGTGACGCATGGCGTTTGTGATGATACACCCAACAATCAAAAAGAGACGCAAACGAAAAAAATATGTTTTTCTCCCAAAGAATGCTCTGTAATATTAGAAAGAGTTACAGAAAGTCCAAGTAATGCGCGAAGGGAAGAATCGCACTCCCCGCCCCAGCAATGTGTAGTAAGAGTGGAAAGAATGAAAGTTCCAATGGCCGTGGTGTCCTGTGGTAACAGGAGAATAAAGTTTTTATGTGAGCAGTGTTCGGCATCATTTAGCGAGCAAGCTAAATTGCATTCTCATGTTCTGCAGGCGCATATGACCAAATCAGGTTACATGTGTGATCATTGCTCCAAGTGTTTTCGAAAAAAAAGTCTTTTGAGCAAGCACATCATATCGCACATGGATGTGAGGCCTTTTCTGTGTAATTTTTGTCCGGCGCAATTCAAACGGAACCGCAATCTGCGGAGACACATTCGCGATATTCATGAAAGGAAGAACGAAGTTAAAGCAAGTTACAGTTACACGTGTGATCATTGCTCTAAGTGTTTTCGAATAAAAAGTGATTTGAGTAAGCACATCATATCGCACATGGATGTGAGGCCGTTTGTGTGTAAATTGTGCCCGGCGCAATTTAAAAGGAACTACAATCTGTTAGGACACATCCGCAATACTCATGAAAGGAAGAACAACGTTAAAGCAGGTTACACGTGTGATCATTGCTCCAAGTGTTTCCGAATGAAAAGCCGTTTGAGGGAGCACATCATATGGCATCACATGGATGTGTGGCCTTTTGCGTGTAACTTTTGTCCGGCGGATTTTAAACTGAACAGCAATCTGCGGAGACACATCCGCGATGTTCATGAAAGGAAGAACAAAGTTAAGTGAACTCGGAACAAATCTTAATGCATTTTTCTTCCATTTAAGTATCCACGTAGTCGGATGATACATAACTAGTTTTTAGGCAGACTTTAGTATTTTAGGTATAAATTTCTTTAAAGAATGTTTGTGATTGTATGCTTATTTAGTGTGCTGTATTTGTAATTTGCATGTACCTATTTTTGTTTCATGTCATTTCTACTTTTACGTATTGTTTACGTAATTTTCTAGTATAATGTTGAGGCCAAGTATTACCGTGGTTTTATTTTTTTGTCACAATATACCCTCTCTTTTATGTTTTTTGGTAGCATCAAGGTAACCTATGTAAATATCGATTGTGATGGTGCTAAATAAAAATGTGCTTATAGTAAATAATAATCCTATATACATATTATGTATTAAAACACAAAGTTCCGAATCTTTGGACGTTAACTTTGAAAGAACCACCAGACCGATTTGCCTGATATTTTTTTTAAATGAAAGCCCCTGAGCTGTAGATTTGCAGACTGTAGTTTGTTTTCCGATTTTCTCAAATTTTCTCCTGTAGTTTTCTCAAATGTATCCTATGTATTAAAACACAACGTTCCGAATCTCTGGACAAATCGTCCTTAAAACTTGCCGAGACATTCGGAGGACCAATACAGCCGTGCTAAGGAAGAACGCCGTATGAGCCCTCAGACGTTGCAAAATTTCCTTCGATAAAAACCGAATTTACTGCGAAAATTTATTTTGTTCCAAAAATTTTTAAGACAATATTGTACGCAATTTAATCTAAAATATCTGAGAATTTCAAGGAAAAATATGCATAAATTCCGTCAAAAATACATGTTGTATCAAGGGAAATCTGACAACTCTCGAATGTTCATACGGCGTTCTTCCTTAGCATGGCAGGATTCCTACTTCCTGTTGGTTGAACTTTTTGAAACTTAAACTGATTTGAAACCCGATAAAACCAACCGCATGCGAGTTCGGTGTGGTTATGTGCTTCTCGGGGCGATGGAACAACCAGAGGTTCGATTGTTGAATCGATATCGAATGACCTTGATCGATAAAAATTATTGCTTGAATAGGAATTGTAGATCAGAATCATGCAATAGAAATTCAACAATCGACTCTTAGGCTCCTTTATCCTTGCCCCTATGGTTCTCTGCGTTGCGATATGTATTTCAGAATAATGGACCACTAGAAAAGATTTGACCGAGAACTAAACGTTACTTGTCCTCCCTTCAAAATTTTACGTACAAAACTATTCACATGCACAACTGGAAGCTCGGAGATCAACTTTTGAACGTGATATTAACAAATCGATGACCCAAGTGCAAAGCCACGGTTCTATTTTTGCGACGGTGCAGATTCCTGGCCATAAATTATGTTTTCTCATGAAAACTTCTCAACTTGATTAAAAACTGATATTATTCAAAATTATTAAAAACTATCCTAATTTTCCTCCTCCCTCAGCATAGTATACCTATTTCAAGCTGAGTTGGTCTCGGTAGTTTTCTGCGCAAATCGTGTTCTACGTAAAATTCTGGTGAAGAATTGTACAACAAAGTGCTTAAAGTCGTACTTTGTTTAGTGATCAATGCAATCTCAAAAAGCGAACAGAGAGAACTTTCCTAGCGTTACTCGGAAAATATATTTTATCGGGAGAAACGAGGCAACGTTGGAATGCTCATACGGCGTCGAAACATAGGCATTATAAGCCCCATTATTCGATGCCGCGCTCATGCTAATAACACGAGTTCGAATAATCGCGCCAAATACAGTGCGGCCGGCGTCCAACGCACATTAGCGGCTAGCGCCTACAAGACTGCATTGATACTTCTCGCATTGCGCCGACCGCAGGGCAGTCGGTCAGTCGGTGACTCGGCGTAAAGCGCACATCAGCGCCTACAAGATTGTCGGAATACTTCACGCATTGCGCGCACAGCACGGAACGCGCTTTAGGTAATAGTTGTTATTTCTCGATGTCATACCCACCACCCGCGGTGCGGTGGACAAAATATCCAACCGGATTCATGTTGCATTAGAAAACTAACCAAAATATCTTTCTGAAGTTTTTGTGAATGATCTTGAATTAATGAAGAAAATTTAAAAAAAAAAAAATTGATTAATTTTTCGTGTGTAAAAATAACAATATGAACGGTAAGAGGCGACGCAGCAATCGTTTTATGGGTTTTTTTCTCACCTGAACCACCAATGTAATCGATTATGAGACGTTAACTACAAAATTTGTGGGTCAATTTCTTAACACATTTTTAAAATGTAAATTTAACGTACATAAAAAGGAAAACAAATTCCAGAAAAGACTGATGATTATTCAATTTTGATAGTACTCTTGCGTCTTTTGTTTTTTCATATTTTCAAATTAAAATTCAAAATGAATGCAACAATTCTGTTTTGCTTAGTTCCGCTGGTTTGCGCCTACATTTCTAGCCTTGTGGCGGGCTGAGAGTAGGGAAATTTGGATTAAGATATTGTCAAGACGATGATTGACGGGGAAAACACAGTTTGTCTGCGGGTCCGACGTTTCTCCACGGCCATTGTTCTCAAATAAATTCGACGAATGTAGCCATGTAGGTTCTTGGCCTTCGAACTCGCTTCCTTTCGTTCCAATCTGGCCGCCCTTTACGTTTATTTCATTGTCATACTGTGGGACATAGAAATCCCGGACCTTCTTGGTGCATATGGTGCATTCTGTCATGGTTCTTTTCTTCAAGAATAATGTTTCATCGTCCTCCCCGGCAGATTTTCTCCCTTCACGAAAACTGAACTCTTCAAGAAACCTGTCCTCTTCAGAAAAACTGTCCTCTTCAAGAAGGCTCTCATCTTCAAACAGGCTGTCCTCTTCACCAAGACTGTCTCCTTCAGCAAAACTGTCCTCCTGAAGAATGCTATCTTCTTCAGAAATAGGTTCCTCTTTGAAAATATCACGCCTTCCGATAGGGGCATTCGCATCGAGGTGGACATTCTCTTCGGCGTGGGCTCTATTTTCAGACGGTGATTCCTAGACAATACCATAAGCATGAGAATTGCATAAATTACACAATTAGCCAAATACAACTGAGGTGATAGGTGCGAAAAGGCCCCTACATAGCTGTGAGGACCTTTTTACGGAGAGTAGTTTTTCTAATTCCTCGCAATCTATGAAGATATTCTGGATAGAAAGAATAAAGGCAAAACAAACAAAAATTCTTGTAAGAACAATGATGAAGGCCGTCTTGTGAAACTTTAGATCTGAGAAACTTGCACAATCCCAAAGCGAGTTATAGAGTTTAGTAATTCACTGGGAAAAAAAACCACATTGTATCTAGAGTCCAGACTCTTGAAAACATTAACAAGAAAAAGGACTCTTGATTCAAGCAGATTTAAGCTTAAATCGAAAGGAAATCAGCTCAAATTCAAAGGCTTGGAACCTGATTTAAGCTTAAATCTGATTGAATCAAGAGTATTTTTTCCTGTCGATGTTTTTAAGAGTCTGGGCTCTAGATCCAATGTGTTTTTTTTTTCCAGTGTTCGATGGTGAAACTGCATCTCGGTTTGCGGCGTTGCAGACGTCATGCCATAGTTTATTTTCTACATGAAAAACTACTGTAAGTCATTTTTTGACAATTTCGGTGATTTTTTAAATTTTTATAAAGTACATTCCGTGAAAACTTCAAGTCATTGTATTGGTTGGATCTCCTGTTGAAAAATGAAAGAGTGGCGGAGATTTCGAATGCAGTTTCACCGTCGAATTGCACTATAGTGCAGCAGTTGTGAATATAGCTCTTTATTAAAAGTAGCTTACAGGCAGGACATGGACCACTAGACAGGGTACGAATTAAAGGATTCTGATAGGTACATGTTTCTTAACCAAAATTTCACGTAGAACACGATTCGCGCGACGAAAATCACTGAAACCAACTCCTAACGAAGATATTTGCATTTTTATTTCACATTGGTTACGAGGAATTTGAACTGCCCGCTCACAAGAAACTCAAAGCTCTACGTGAGTCAAATCGCGCACTACAACGGTTTCAGCAATCTTCTCAATCGAGCAATGTTCATTTCTCACCATGTGTTGTTCAAACTATAAGCAATTTGCTATAGCTGAGCCAAAGCGTCAAGATCGAGGTTGCCAGATTTTTATATCGCGTCATGATAAACGTTTAGCGCGCGATGTGAATCACGTAAAGCACTGAGTTTTCATGAGCGGGAGGTTTGAATTCACACATCAAGAATCATTAAATATCTTCGTAAGGAGTTGATTTCGGTAATTTTCGTTGTGCGCATCGTGTTCTACGTGTAATTTTGGTTAAGAAACAAGTATTAGAATGCTGAAATTCGTACCTTGTCTAGTGGTCCATTGTCAGTCGACTTCTCAAGATAAAAACTAATGCGTCCACTTTTCTGAGGCAATTACTTACTTGTTTATAGATATCATTCGCATCCTTTTCTCTGACATAACCACCCTCTTCGGTATCACCTCTTTCTTCAGAGAGCGCAGCTTCTTCTTGCGGGGTACCTTCCCTATAGGAGCCATCCTTTACCTCAACCTTAATGGGGCAGGGCTCCTCCGTGCAGGCATCGGTGTCTCGAGCCGCAGGAGGCTCATCAGAGTGGAGAGCCCTCCTGAACCTGTTGGAGATGTTTGGTGGCATTACTTCAAGTCGTTGATCAGAGTTTGTTTTTATCAAAATACGAGTAAAAACAATCGATATATATCGAAACAAGCGGTCTTGCCAACGTATACACCATCAAAGATATTTGCCCTTAGAGGTAGGCTCTTGCCATAAGGCTAATGTTGGACCTGGACAGACACTTGAGCATGTTTTCAAACCTGTTCTTTCTGATGCAAGGTGGTAAAGGATTATGCGGATTATGTTTTTTAATCGAAAATACCTTGTCATCAGAAGGAGCAGGAAAAAATCTTAGATGCAGCAGTCATATTTGCATGCACACATTTAGCCGCTAAATCCGGAAACGGTTTTTCTCTATCATGCAAGGATTCCCAGATGATGCCGTAATTTGGGGATAATGGGCCTGTTGTGCGGGAAAGATAGGGACGAGTAAATAGACTTTTTACGGGTAAAATCGCACGAAAATCGTAATGACTACCAGCCAATGAAAAAAACTAAAATTTGAAAAAACTTGAGAGAGTAAATTGGAAGAAGCACACCGAACTATACAGATTGTGCGCTAAGTAGTGGATTTAAAACTTGTCGTATTTTTTGTGCAATTTTACCTGAAGGAAGCCCACTCACTTGCACCTCTTGCTATTCCCGTATTTTCCCGGCAAAATTGAATTGGTCGAGAAAAGGTAAATAATTTTCGGAATGAGCGCTAGAAATCTGCTCAGGGGCAGTTTTTATACCTTCCTCGATAACATCTCCTTCTTCTTTTTTTTGACTATTCTTTTATTATGACTATTATTATCATCAAAATATAGAGTGAACAAATGAGCATTAGCGGATCCAGCAAATTAGCAACATTGTTTTTCTCAATTTAAACCTATGAAAATGTATCGATTCTTGGAGGGGCCAGATTTCCTAATAAGAATCGATAATTTAACATAGGTATCAACGGAGGGAATCCGGTGTTGCCAAATTGCCGGATCCGCCTTTGCAAATGAGGAGACGAACCTCTCGTAAGACGCGATCATCTTTTCAAAAGCCCCCAGAATTCGGGCCACTTCACCCTGATGCAGCTTGGGCGGGAGGACGAAACTAAAGTTTGGCTTCCGGGTCAAGCTCCTGACGCAGTCTCGTTTCTTGCAGGTGATTATATGATTGAGCATGGCCGAGAAATAATTGAAAGATTTGATGAGCTCGTCGAATTCCCTCATCAACGCGTACACTTCATCGGCGGATACGGGGGCACATCCTGAGTCGCACCTGGAGACGTTGCCGGGACTTCCGGTTCCAGAATCCTCTTTGCTGGGACTCTCTTCTCCAGGATTTGAGTTTCCAGGACTTGTAAGTTCAAGATTCTTGCTCCTGGAACTCTCGCTTCCAATGTTCGTGTTTCCGAGATTTTTGGTCCCGACATTTTTGTTCCTGGAGCTCTCAGTTGCGGCGTTCTTGACTCCAGGATTTTCCATCTCGGGACTTTCGTTCGCGGGATTTTTGTTCCTCGGGATCCCGGTTCCAGGACTCTCATTCCTGGAACTCGCGGCTTCTTCATTCTTGATTTTGGAATTCTTGTTCCAGGGGCGTTCGGTTCCGTGATTTTTCTCTCCGGGACTCCTTATTCTATGATTCCTCTCCTCTGGACTCTCCATTCTATAATTTTTCTTCTCTGGACTCTCGATTCCATGATTTTTCTTCTCTGGACTCTCGATTCTACGATTTTTCTCCTCTGGACTCTCGATTCTATGATTCTTCCTCTCTGGACTCTCGATTCTATAATTTTTCTTCTCTGGACTCTCGATTCTATGATTCTTCTTCTGTGGACTCTCGATTCTATGATTCTTCTTCTCTTGACTCTCGATTCTATGATTCTTCCTCTCTGGACTCTCGATTCTATTATTCTTCTTCTCTGGACTCTCCATTCTATGATTCCTCTTTTCTGGACTCTCGATTCTAGATCTCTCAATTCCGGCATAATGGACCCTACGATTCCAGTACCCGGGGCTCTCAGTTCTAGAATTATTATCCCGAGGACCCTCGGTTCTCTCACTTTTAATTTTGAAATTCAAGTGCCGGGGGATCTGGGTTTCGGGATCTGTGCTCCGAGGAGCCTCAGTTCCGAGATTTTCGATTTCTTCACTTTTGATTTTGAAATTTTGTTTCCTGGGGCTCTGGGTTTCGAGTTTTTTGTTCCTTAGACTATCGGTTCCGGGATTCGTGTTCCCGCGCTTCTCGGTTCTTTCATTCTTGATTTCTGAATTTCCAGACCTGAGACTCTCGATTCTGGGATTCTCTTCCACTGAACTCTTAACTTTGGGATTCTTGTCACCGAAACTTTCGGTTCTGGGACTCGCAACCTGATTGGTCCTTAGCTGCTCGTAGTGAAAATCGTAAGTTTTTTTCATATCTTCAAGTTGGCTGATGAACATCTCTACGACCTCGCTGTCCGTGAGTTTTTCCATAACCGGGCTTGCCCTTGAGATGTACCTGCGGGTAGAGTCAAAGAATTTTACACATTCTATAATGAAAATATACCGAAAAATGACACTGAACAATTTAAAAAACTAACCCAAGCTCTGAATGTGTACAATCTTGCAAAAATAGTGTCAAGAATTGTAAAAGTAATTTTTAATTTGGAAAATTATTCGTTTGGGTATACGATACAGACACTTTAAATGCTGATGGTTAGAAAAGATCTTAAACGATAGAACACACAATAATTGAACCTACCTAGAAGACTTTACATCAGGGTATCGTTTGTTTCTAGTCAATCCACTTTCTGGGAATCTCTGAACTTCCAAGGTCTTCTGATCTGGGAATGAAACTTTTCTTTTCTCTTTATACCCTAAAGCATCATCATCAGGTGGTGTATCAGGAGATCCTTTCATTAACAACCTTCTTGGTTTTAAAGACTGTCTCGTATCATTCTGAGAAGGCAAATCTTTAACGAATTCCTCGAAATCATGGTTTCTTTGGTACGAATCCATTCCGTCGAATTCTTTTTTTACCTTATACTGAGAAGGCGAGTCTTTGACAGCTTCATTTTTAACGATTCGATGAAATGGGTCCGTTTCGTGGAATATCACATTTTTAGAAGGCGAGTCTGAGACAGATTTCTTGAAATCATTGTTTCTTTGGTATGGATCCATTCCGTCGAATCCTTTTTGAGGTTGCAAATCCCCAGAGGGTTTATCTTCTATGACTACCTTCCATCCCTCTCTAGGATAGAATGTAAAGGTCCCCATAGAGGTCTTTTTGGAGGTTCCCGTACAGAGCGTCTCAGATGCCCATCTAAAAGCATTCTCAGATGTCTCTTTAGAGGCTTTCTCAGAAGATTCCCTCGCCGATTCAGAGGACCGAATTCCATTCTTAAGTTTGGCCGTACTTCCACTCGACTTTAAGTGAAATTTTTCAGACTCATGACTGTCAGTATCTTGAGAGCATGAATCCTCTAGATCCATTGTATCAGCTTCAGTACACGGGTCCGGCCCCTCACTGCCACCCCCATGGCGAACTTTTGGACAGAACTTAAGATTATCTAAAAGGAGTGCGTCAATTTCCTTCAGATTTGAAGAGTCTCGATCCTTCACAAATTTATGGGCTCCCCTCTCTGAAAGTAGACATGTTACCATCGTTAGTGATAGGAAAATAATTCTAATATGGAGGTGTTACAAAGGAGTGGCTATTTGTGTTCCTGGTCTCTGTTGAGAAATCTGTTTCTCTGGCTAGTAATTTAATTCCAGAATCAATGAAGAAATGAGAAGTTAATGGATATTTAAGTTTATTAAATATTCAAAAATCCGGCACCGCCACTGGAGGTGTTTTTGATCAAACTAAGCATATACATTTGAAAAAATAAAATAGAGAAAAATAGACCCCGATGTTTAGGGCGTGTGCGTATATATAGTCAAATGACTTTTTCACCCAAACGCACCGTTAACGTGCCCGAATAATAGGTCCCTTCATTGTTATTGTAACCGGCATTTCTTGTAGTTTATCTAGGCTATGAGCATTTAACCATTTAATAATATGAAATCACCATTTAGCTCTGAAGAGTATTTCTTTCTGGTAAGTACGTCACAATTGCGCCTTCAAAATAGTTGATATGCAACTTCAATAATATCTGTAATAATCTCACGAAAAAAAAGTATCAGAATCCCAACTATCCTTCTAGCTGATTTTGGCGCCAGATATTAGAGTAGTTGCACAAGCCAGAGGTATGGTTAAGTCAGTATGAGTGTGGTTGGATTAACTATACCGCTGGCTGGTGCCTTTACACTTCTAGCTAGTGCAACTACTCTTATGGCTGGTGCCAAAATCAGCTGGAAGTATAGGAGAGATAGTGATCATTTTTTTTCAATGATGTTTCTAATCAATCATTGGTGACAAAGGAACAATCCGAAGTATTCATCAATCACTTGACGATTGTTCCTTTCGGTAGGATGAATATAATAACCATCGAGATGACGTTGAAAAATGATCTTCCGGTAAAACCGTGAAAACACGCATCTTGCTTGCGATGTTTCAAAATCTCTACTTTTTTAAAAATTTTAATAATTGTTATTGAGTTCTTGAGAGAGTGAAAAAAAGCACCCAAAATGTTGTCTATTCGTGACGATTGATTTGATTAACGATTCACTTAATTATCCTGTAAAAAATTAAATGTGACAGAAAATTTGGAGCGCCACTAAACGAGAAACGTGGTTTGGTAGCTCATTTAAATACCAAACACTCAAAAGCATTGTTGCAACATTTTTTGAGTAATTGAACAATTCAGTTGTGCCGTCGGGTGTAGAAATAACCTATCTCTGATAGAAATGAAACTGACAATTTTCATAAATTCAATGTTTTATTTTAGTAATTGCATAGTCTGAACGAGATTGAATTGCGCGAATTTGAATATTGCAGGAACGTTTCAAGGCTTGACGAGCAGTCGAGCAATCTCTTTTATTTTGTAAAGCAGAAATCTACGGCCGCAGAAAAAAAATGCACACCTCCGACCGCAACGTTATAGCGGTCGTAAAGATAGGTTATTTTCTAACTCGACAGTTAAGTTATTTTAAAACTTTTTAGTCTCGCTGTAGGTTGAGATAGATACTTAATGTCATTTTCGCCAATTTTTTTGGCATCCGTATCGAAGACACGTTTCGGTTTCAGCATACATTCCAAAGTGCACTTTGCCCTCTGACGTTCGAATTTCAAACATTCTTTATTCGTTTCCTCTTCTTTTTCTTTTGCAGTTGGCCCAGACCTAGATTAATTATAAAAAATAAACTTTAACACTAATGCTTCCAATAGGATGGCTTTGAGCCCAGACAATAGGGACGATTTCGTGCTTTCTAAAATTCTAAATAGATCCCATACATTTGGCGGATGAATTTGGCTTGCATTTGGTTGTACGGAGATAGAATTAGTCGTCACAAGCTCAAAAATTGAATGAACCATCATAGTTGTTTTGATGAGGGGATAAAAAATGATGCAAAAATGCACTATGGACTTAAGTCCTCGTCGGAAGCTAAATTTTAAAATAGACGCAGAAATCTATTCATTGTCAGATCGGAATACTTTCACAGGTAGGGTAGTTCTAAGGTCCAAGGAAAATATAACTTGGATAAAAACAAAAATGTGGAAATAAGTGCGTTTTTCTTCTCAGCGTGCTTTTGAGCATTAATAGCCTCGGCAGATTTGAAGAATTACAAGTGCAAACTTGATAAAACCAGATCTCAACGTAAGAGCCCCGCTTTACTTTAAAATCAATTTAAAGCCAATGAGCTGGTTCGTTGAAAATTAGTGATTTGCCAAAATGCTCGAATTTCTTTTCTTTATGAATGAATCTTCATCTTTTGGAATAAGATCAACTAGACACCAAAAAGTGTCATAAATCAGCGATTTTCTCATATTTAAGTATTTTATATCTTGTTTCAATTAATATTAAAATAATTTACAAGGATAGATACTTAATGTCATTTCCAACTTCATTGGCATCTTTTGCGGGCACAGTGTGAGTAGGATTTGGTAACATTTTCATGGTGCTATCATGTAAGCTATTGTGACCCGGCACGACTCTGCAACTAAGATCAAATCTTACTATAAAATGCATTGCAGTATAAACCTTGAATTAAGTTTAAAACGAATGTGCACGTTTTAAAATAATCCAATTTTGAATGGACCGTGCTAAAGACCCCACATTATTTTAGGTGAAATATTGTTCGTTAATAAAAGCTTTACAAGATCCTTGAACAGGAAAAACTGAAACAAATGTATCTGCATGCACGATTAAAAACCTTACGTTAGAAAAGCTAAGACCTGACCGAAGTGGCAGTGCATTTCATGTCAGAATAAATATGTCGTATTAAGAATAGTAATAAGTGTACAAGTACAAATGTATTTTCCTTTTTTAAAATTTTGAACATTGCTTAATTTTTTCCGATATAAGACGATTTTGTTAAAAGATTTCTGCAATTTTCCCTTAAAATGATTGAAGCATTTGATTTGTACTTACATGTGATTAAGAATTTTGAGGAAACATTTCATGTGTTCTTATATTTTCTAACAACGGAACTTACTTCAATACGAATGCCCACCTGAGGTTCTTTTTTAGCGTCAATACTGCCGATTAGATACACTGCGATGACGGGATTCAATAGTAGCGCCTTAATTGATGCAACTATTCCTACTCATAGGATGTCCATGTTGCATACGAACAAATTGAAGGGGTTTCAATTTTTCTAATGGTCATATATTAAAACTTAAGTAAGTGAATAAAAATTATTCACTGAGAAGCATAACGATCTTTGGAATTTCCTCTATGTCTCACTCCTCTCTGTCTCTCTTTCGCCCTCCCCCTTTCGACTTAAAAAACATAAAGAAGCATCAACCGCCATAACTTACTTGGCTCCAGGTTTGAGTTTGAGACCGTGGAATTTGTCGAACTCCAGGTGAATATCGACATGAATTGAAAGACTCTTGCCGATTTTCGTGTCGCTCACTGCGGCCTTTGACGTGACATAAGACTTGGATGCGATCAGTCTCGGACCGGTGCTCTTTCCAGCATCGTCTCCTTCTGCAGGTTGGGTCTCCGCAACGCTCCTCTGGGAACTCTTTCTAAGGATCCTCTCATCTCTTTCCCGGTTTTTATCTTCCAAACTCTTCCCAGGTCTCTCTTTAGGGCTCTCCACGATTTCATCCTTTAGAAGATCTCTAGACCTCTTTCCAGAGCTCTTCGCGGATATGTCTTCTTGACTCTTCCAGGGACTCTGCCCAGCTCCATCTTCTGGACTCTCTCCAAGCCTCTTTCCAGGATTCCTCTCGACTCCATCCTCTGACTTCTTTCCGGGCCTCCTTCTGGGATTCTTAGCAACTCCATCTTCCAAACTCTTCTCGGACCTCTTTCCAGAGTTCTTCGTGACTTTATCATCCGGACTCCTCTCGGGCTTCTTCTCTGGGCTCCTAGCGACTTTGTCTTCTGCTCTCCTCCTGGGACTCCTCCCGGTGCTCTTCGGGACTGCGTTCTCCAGATTCTTCATGGGGCTCGAGCCTTTTCCGGCCCTTTGCCGCCCACCTCTCTCAGGCCATTGCTCAAAGCTCTCCAAACCTCTTCTTTTGAACTCCTTTTCAGGGTTCTCCTTGAGATTCCCCACGACGCTTTTTCCTCGATTTTTCCATAGATTTTCTCCGCGGATTTCTTCAGGACTCTCTCCGCGGCTTTTTTCGGAGCCCTCCCTTGACTTTCTCCGAAAATAGTTTTTAAAGCCCTCCCCGAGGCTACCCGTGACACTCTTTTTAGTGGTCTCACGAGAGCGCTTTTCGGGGCTTTTATCTGAGCTCCTCCTGGAACACGTCGAGACATTTCTTTTGGGGTGTTCTTCGGAGCACCTTACGACTTTTTCCTTAGGGGTCTTTTTGGTGCTTTCCACGACGTCTTCCTCGGAGTTCTTCTTGGAGCTTTTCTCGCTCTTCTTAGCGGTTTTTCTATCGCCGTCATCGGGTTTCTTGCCAGAACACTTTGCGAGAGTCTCGGCGCAGTCCTGTCGAGGATTAAAAGATAAAATTGATAAATTCAAACGATAATTCTACATAAATTGAAAATTTTTTAGACTTCATTTGTTTAACTTTAAAGGTTGTAACTAAATTAAAAATCGTTTTATATTCTAACATCACTTTTCAATCATTCAACTCAATGGACCATCAGACGAGGTACGAATTTAAGCATTCAGATACATGCTTCTTGACCAAAAGTTCACGTTGAACATGATTTTTTTAAATGCAAAATTTGTCAGATATCTCAATTTTTTCACTCGCATCATAGATTCACCTAAATGGTACCCACCCAATGAAGGAATTCTGCACCATGGCGGTGGAGACTACTCCCTCTGCGGGTCCGGGAAACGCGCTCCGTCGATCTCGACCGGTCATTTTGGAACTCGTGAAACGCGATTTCATCTTTGAGCCTGCACTCATCACTTTCTCGCCTACTTCTGAATGTTGTATCACGGACGAGACCCAACGGCGAGACCTCCTTAGTGTCCTTGTCCAGGCAGGGATGGCAGATGCGCCTAGGAGATTTTCTCCGTCGCTCATAATACACGATCCATTTGTTGTCCTAAACAAGGAACCCCACACGGAAAGAAATTAAATGTTGATTTAGCATTTATACTGTTAAAAAGATGTCCGACAAGTTTCAAATGCTGATTTTACATTTTAACAAATGCTAACGTAACTACACCTACCGCAAAACGAACAAATTAAAATGTTATTTTAGCATTCATGTATTGTAAAATCAGCATTTGAAACTTGTCGGACATCTTTTTAACAGTATAAATGCGAAATCAACATTTAATTTTTTCCGTGCACGTGAGGGTATACGTATATCCTTATAGGGAGAATATGGACACTCAGCGCTCAGCCACACGAAGACCCTCGCAGAACCCAGAAAAATAGCGGCAACTCTGAATCGGAAAGGGTTGTCACCAACCCTTGTCGGATATCACATGCTTCACTTGGCTCGCATTTAACAGTGAGGAACTAACTCGATCATAGTGGCGTAAACATTGTACATGTTTATTTTTGACTAAAAAAAATGTCGTATAAGATAGCGAATACTTTTTGCTTTCTCTGCCAAAATGTTGTTAATTTCAAACAGAGAGGATCGAGTAAATTCTATTACTGTATAAATATTTAGTTTAACCTCCTCAGGGTCATGGGTGGAACTAGAGGAACGGGATACCTACACACCTCCACAGAAATCCACTCGGCCCCACCCCAGAAATGTTCAAGATTTTAAGTGCGCGACACGTCTCTGATCTTTGAAATTGTAATGCGATCAATTTTCCGGCAAGAACAGCTCAAAGTTGCTACTGTTGATGACTCACTTTCTCCAAATTTTCCGAAGAAGGCTCCTCGGACCCCTCTTTGAAATCCTTAGTATCTGCTTCTGGAGCTAGGGAAGTCCCACAAATCCTCCTTTGTGACGTGTCATTTGGTGCCCTCCCCCCCCCCCAAAAAGAAAAATCATCTAATTTGGCCCATGCCCATAAGAGGGGTTTAGTTTAGAAACATTTCGTGGAAGAAATTTTTTTGAAGACATTTTAAGAAATGGCTCATCGTATGACATCAACTGTGTTTTTGCTGCAGCGTGACATCATTGTGATGTCCACCGAGCTTTCTTGCCTCACTTGGTAAGAGTAACATCAGAGTGATTTTGAATAGTGACATCATGTTGATTTTGTCCGCAAAAGAGTGTAACACAACATTGACGAGGATATCATGCCTCACTTTCATGAGGGTTTTTCTAATGGGATGCACAGGTGTGGTTTGAAACCGGGAGGCCCAGTGTCCGTATTCTTCCTATCTACACAATAATAGTACTCTAATGTTACCGCTGGCGTTAGTTTTTTCATTTTTGAATGTTTCAATTTCAAAAGAAACACAGGCAAGTTATTTACATTACATATCCTGGGGAGCTTCCCATCCGGAGGGGGTCGATCGAAGGGACACGAGAGTTTCCCGCGGTGGAGAGCGTAGAAGAGAAGCAAGACATACTGGATCCGGTAGACTTCGTTCTCGTCACTGTTGAGTTTGTTGAGCCACAGCTGAGCAACCTCTTGATCTGCAAGAAGAAACGTCAAACCAACTGGACTGAATTCAACGGAAAGAAATTACGTCACATTTTGGGGTATTATATGGGGGGGGGGAGTAGTAGTTTGAATCTAACCCTTATTCGCCCGCTATTCAGGTTATAAGAAAAAAGAAGAATCAGCCCTTATGACACCAGCAATGCAAAAAATAGGGGGAAAAAAGTTAGGGGACAGGAGTGTAGGAGCCCTTACAGCCGAGACCATGTAGGACAACAGATAAGGGGGTTGGAGGACAAGGCGCATAAGTGCAGTTTTTGCAATTTGTAAAATACGTGTCTCGAAATTACATAGACCCTTATGGTGGAAAGAAAGTTCAAACTGACATTTTGATGCTCAAATAATGGAATTTGGGGGTGAATTTTTCAGAGAATATGCATTAGGACTGGTTTTACTTGAATTCATTAATATCTCAATTTTGTGAAAAAAAAAAAAAACCCTGCACTTTTGCGCCTTTTCCTCCTAGCCCCTCAAATATCCCATTATGGAGGCAGTGCCCTCATAATTCTTGCACTGGCAATGCTGAAAATGCAATCGTTAAATCTTACAATCGCATAGATCTCGTGTCAAGGGTGGTGAATTATGCTAAAGTTTCATTATTCAGAAAGATCTTATTTGCGGTTTAGTTTAGTTCAACTATTTTTGTTTTGTTTTCTGCTATTGAATTGACCCCTTTTTTTCTATTAGGTACACTACCTACACGGAGAGAAGCTGATGAGGAATTCACCTAACCTTTTTCCTTGGGCAGCAATTGGATCAAGGGGGCCACGAAGCCGGAATAGAAGGCGTAGGTTTCACATCTCGATGAAGGTCTAGAGGCTCCGTGTACCGGTTCTCTCTTGGCGTTTGCATTCTTCATCGTCGAACATTTTCAATCTATTTTTGTAAACTGTGGCAAGAAGCGCCATTTTGAACCGAAACAAAACATTGCACATGTGTACAAACGTATTTTTCAAACAGCTGACTGGGAACGTGGAAGTTACAGCTTTGCCGCTCTGGCTAATAAATCTTCGATTCGGATCTAAAGTTCCTACAATTGGACTACATTTTGCAATTAGGACCTATAATTTCTGGCTCAGTTTAGAAACAACGTATGTACCATCAGTTTCCTTATGCACATACGTGTTTTGCAGATAAGCCAGAAATTATAGTTCCGAATTGCAAAAAGTGTATCCAATTCTTTTTCCCACACTTGCTACTCTGGATAGAATCAAGTTATTCAACTTGTAGAATTTTGAGTTTCATGAAATACGTATTACTAAATTTCGGACCCCCCCCCTCGCGACCCCCACCCTAACGCTAACCGCGCCACCGCAACGTAACGCTTTTGTCCTATCGTCGTATTCTAGACCCTATCAATGCTCCTGAGAATATCTATCGCGGAAAGAGCCTTGTAATACTTTCTTATCAGCTCTGCTCCGCAGAATTGTATAATGTAACCAGGTGGCACATAGCTCCTTGTTATTGTGCGTTACATGAAGCATACCACCAGTTGCAGCTTGCAGCTCGCTGCAAAGGTTGTTGGAAGTATTTTAGTGCCAGCCCTCGTACTGAGGTAAAAATCTACTTGATTTACTTCTTTGTAAAAAAAAATAAAATTAAGTACATAGTCATTTGTCTTGCAATATTAAAGTTAATATTTTGATTCAGTCCAATGGAGGCTCTTTGGATGACAAGTGTGCGCAGATGCATTTCTCTTTTTTTAAAATTTGAAGTTCCTTTTTCGAAGCGAATGGTAGGTACTATGACAAGTAAAAATTATGGATCACTTTTAAAATCAGTTAAAAAAAATTTCACCAAGGGTTTCTCAAGCAGCCTGACGTAGAATGTGCAATCTTCAAGGAATTCCAAAAAGTATACGGCGCGGAGACGCTGGTAAGAATTTCGTCCGTTTGGCAATACATCTATAAATCTTCGGTAAAACAACTCAAGTGTAAATATCAGTTTTTGATACTGCAAATTTTCTGTCGTGATTTATTTTCAAAGTGGAAAAATCATTTTTTGAAAACTTCCTTAATTTTTAATTCCTCGTGTGAAGAATAATCTGTAACAATTTTAGCAACGCTGTTGATTTAGTCTCCTTCAATAAAATAAAATAAAATAAAATAGTCTTAGAGATTTCAAAATACTGCAAACGAATTACGCGTTTTTGCAATTTCCACCAAGAGGATCGCTGTTATTTTTTTTAATTCGATCAAAGTATTGGGATGAAGAAGTAACAATATTCCCAAAAATCCATCAATTATTAAATCTAAAATTCTCCTCGCAATCAATGAAGATCAGGATTGATCGAGAAATCCTTCAATGTGATCGGAAAGAGAAAATCATAATAAAATCGTAATCAAGGTGCTCCCTTTTCCGACGTTAAAAAAAATCATGAAGTACATCGAGGTTGTGAAAACGTCATGAGTACAAACAATATTATAATTAATAATTTAGATTCTATCTCATCGAAGAAAAACTAAGAGATATAATGCCTTGAAATTTTTATGAACTTATTACTACGAGAAAAATCGTTGAATATTTCAGGAAATATGAACGAATAAGTTTTATTATACAAAATAATGCGGAAGGCTACGTCACACTTCGATACACTTGTTCTCAGTTCAGCTCCTGCAAACAAATGAGCTGCAACTATTCAAACTCGGCAATTATGCAAAGTTGCATATTCATCAGTCTGAAGGCGCTACGTAAGCTTGTTTTGACTGAACATACTATCGTATTACCTTGGTCGATGTTCCTCGAAGTGCGACAAATGATCGCTACAAAAAAAAGAAGAAGGAGAAGAAAAAAAACTGAGCTTTAGCGTAAGAAACGAAACTATTTATTGAATTTTCAGTCTACATATGTCTCAGATACGATTATCTTTTCCTCACGCCAATCCACAGGCTACTTGCAGGATTTAAAGAGACCAATTTCTTGTCAAACTCCAGATTTCTTTGAGTTCTTGCGCATGGGTAGAGAGTGTAGTTAGATACCATTTTGATCAGCATCGTTTTGACATCCAGTAGAGCCAGCCGCATCGCTGGAATAACATGAAAAAAAATTGTCATATCTCATACTTACATACTGAACTGAACATGAAAAAACATGCAAGTATATTTTAGGGTATGAAATTCTTTAAGAATGCTTATAGACGGTTGAAAATTGGAATTAGCCAACAGTTTTCAGTCAGAGCTTTAAATGATAATCGCAATTATCATAGCATCTGAAATCAGTTTGATTGGATTTACCTTCAGAAAGCAGAACAGTTATTGAAAGGAAACTTATTTGATAGATGAGAATACGCTAATGGAGATCAAAAGATTTCACATCATCGCTGTTACAAGTAAAATTTTACTGGCATAATTCAGCGTTTCCTACACATGATGGTATGGTTTTCAAGTGCAATGAAATATCGCGGATAAAAGGATTTCTTTGAAGGTAACATCATGAATCGGGTTTTCAGGTGTAACTAAGTATGGAACTTATTCAAGGTACTCATAAGACCGCGCGGTAATGATGTGTAAATGCGAAACTTGGACCTTAAGAGAGGAGGACCAGAACATGTTGCGGGTCTTTGAAAGGACAATCTTCCGGAGGAAAAATCGAGGGAAAGGACGTATACTGAGGGATTCTTGTGCCAAAATCTTGAGCATGAGGATATTGTCGGATTAATGAAGGCCCAAAGAATCCAACGGTTTGATCATGTCAAAAAAATTGAGGATAGCAGAGGACCAAAAAGGATGATATAATTTGAGTTTTAGCTCTAAAGAAGAGAATAATTTCACGATCAAGGTGTTTCGAAAGTGTTAAAAAGGATATGGATTGAGTCAAGGAAGTAAAATATTCAAGGACTCTATGAAAACTTGAGGATGAAAATGAAGTCGCTGGAAAGTGTTTTGGAATCACTGGAAAAAAAAACCGCTTGGATCTAGAGTCCAGACTCTTGAAAACAATAACAAGAAAAAATACCCTTGATTCAATCGGATTTTTACTGGAATCAAGAGGAAATCCGCTTAATTTAAGAGGCAGGGTTCTTTATCTAAGTAAAAATCCGATTGAATCAAGAGAATTTTTTCTTGTCATTGTTTTCAAGAGTCGGGACTCTAGATCCAAGCGGTTTTTTTCCCGTGTTAAACTAAAGTTCTTTTGGGACTGTATTACCAATAAAGAGGAGGCAGAAGAAGGAAAAAGAGAGAGAGTAAAAGGAGAAGGTGGAGAAGTAAAAGAAGAAAAGACGAGGGAGAGGAGCTATTCAAGGTTTTACCTATGCAAGACCTTGGGCCATCGCCAAAAGGCAAGTAAGTCCCGGGAACAATGTTCTGGATATTTTCTTCGGAGAACCGCTCTGGATCAAACCTGTCTGGCTCCGGGAAATACTTAGGATCACGTTGAATGCTGAATACTGGTACAAATACTCTCATTCCCTTCTCCACAACAACATCAGAGTCTGGTATTTTAAAGGGTTCCGTACAAATTCTGGCCATGATGCCGGCAACGGGATACTTCCGCAGCGTTTCTGGTAATTAAATGACAAAAAAGACACATCAGGAAACTAGAGCAGTAAATCGAAAAGAAATTCGGCAACATCGACTTTTTAATATAAATTTGAAAATATGGGGAAAAAACTCTTTAAATTAATGGCTCGGAGGCTATTTCTTGTACGTAGAATTTATGCCCTGCAGAAAAGGTAAGATCAAAATATTGCTCCTTCCTAAAAATCATTTATTTTAATGTAAAGCGCAAATTAAAATGTAATGTATGCAACATTCAAAGCAAAGAATGGACGTTAAAGTTTTAAATATATTTACTCAAATAAATTGAACAAAAAAATTGTGGAAGACGTGGCGTTCATACGTTAGAAACCCCAGAAAAGGTTTACTGCTTCGCATATTTTAATATATCTAAGAGAGTTTTTTCCTCCTGAAAACGAATTTATAATTTTCATTTTAAACAGTCAATGCCACTTGAACGTTTACCATAACGTAAGTTTATCATGACTTCTGTTGTTCCTTGTAGACAGAGGGTCCATGAATTTTTTGGTCTTATACTTTGAAATATATCCTCGATTTAATTTAGTGTTTTAAGTAAAATTAATGAAAAATGTGGGGGGGGGACATAAAAGTATACAAAAACTTGTACATTTCATTTTCATTTGCAGAAAAAAAGGAAATTACAGCTACAATGATAATTCCTACTAAGACTAGAAAATACGCTGCCTGATATCCACCATTAACACTGTGAACGCTACAGTTCCTCTCTCTGCGTTTGATTCCGTCCAAAGTTCAGCCTTCAAAACAAAATTCTGCAACCAGCGTAACTGACTCATTACATAAGGCAATATAAGGAAATATGAGACATAAGTATGCATATTTGAATTTAAAGCATTACCGTTCATGACTTGTTCTGTAAATCGGAGTTTTTTGAGGTCTTCGTAGCTGATGTCGTTGAGAGTTTGACCCTTGATGTCCTTGATCTCCAGGTAAATTTTCTCCTGAATATCTGGATGCAAAGCCAACTCATACAGACAAAAAGTAAGCATGGCCGCCACCGGCTCGAGACCGGCCGAAAGGAACGAACCGATTGCGCCCACCAGGATGTCTTCGCTGAAAACTGGCTCTGCATTGAATCAAAGAAATCATATCACCACCAATTACGTCACTTTTACGGGCGCTGGCGTTCTTTTTGCAGGGTTGATTCAATTTTACAAGTGTTACATATCTCTGGTAACAGTGACCTTTGAAGTATTTTTCAACAAATCTTAAAAAATAACTACATATATTAAAACGTTTGTTTTATGAACCAATTCTTTGTTTTTTTGTTTTTTTTTTAGAGTTAAATTAACTCTCCGTGATGTGGGCTTAAAAGTCTTTGAAAAAAAAATCATAAGTTCTTTCAACATTAAAACTGCACTTGATATTTCAAAAGTTTATGAACTCTTTCTTGACTCAAATTTAATTAAAGTTTTATTTATCGCAGATTTTACTTTGTAAAATACCCTGTTACGAACATTTAAACCGTTTTATAAGGGTTATCTCTTCAAAATGTACGAGTGTTTTTTTTTTTTTTTTTTTTTTTTTTAATTGTTTTAAACAGTAGCTACTCCCAAGAACATGTTCATTCAGATTTCACTCTCATAACTGGACTTATCTATACTTAAAGGAACGGTATAAAAATGAGTTAAGTCAAAAAGCAAATATTTGCTATAAATGAGGCGTGGATTGATCTGCCCTTTTGGATCGGAGTTCACTCTGCACTCACATTACGCACATTTTCTTGGGAACGATATTTTCTCTGGAGGGAAATGCACTCTGGATTTCACTTCGAGATTCATAACAATACTCTTTCAATAGGTACTTTAGTGTAACTTCGGGCACCATGCCCCAAATCTTGTCTGAACACCTCACAACATTCTAGAAAAAAGGAGAAAAATACTATACCGTCGGGTTCGCCGCTCGGATTCTCATTTCTCTGCTGGAGCTCTTGGCTGCGAAGATTCATCAACATTTGGAGAAAATCTCTTCGGCTCGACGACTCGCTGCCTGTCCTCATCTCGATGGCTTCCCTCGTGATCCCCAGCAGGTATTCCTCCACCTCGGGGAGTTGAGATGTGAGTCCAAGTAATCGTGGGAGCTTCGGGTGAATCACCTCCAACATGGCGAATATGGTTCTCCTTTGATCGAACTTGAACGTGGCCCGCACGATCTGCTTGAACTCGCTGTTCTCACCCTATCAACAACACATTTAGACGTATTTCTGTCAAACGGAACTAAGCGCCAATTTGAGTTCTTTTTAAGGAAATTAGAATGCCGGATAGCGCGATCTGTCAAACGGAACTAAGTGACATGGAAAAACATTGCGAGTATAGGACGGAATGAGCCCGACGCGCGACGCCCGATTCCGCCGCCAATCCAAGCCTCTCTCTACCTTCCTCCCCCGATGGCGCTTAGCTCCGTTTGACAGAAATACTTCCATTTGATGAAAAAAAATGCCGATATTATAAGTTAGTTTCAAAAAATGTGTATCTTCAATTGCGACGTTGCCATTTTCCGTTCATGTTACATATTTTTACACGAAGAGCGTTTCTCGAATCGGTCAGATAAATCATTAAGTTTTTTTATAAACACGGTAGTGAATGCAGTGTCGACGGTGAAACTCCCACACCACGTATCTCGTTTGCTGTGTTTAAAATCTCCGCCCCTCCTTTGTTTTTTAAAAGAAGAAAAAAATCACTCCTTAAAATTTTCTCAGAATTCACTGAGCATAGGGAAGAAAAATCACGGAAGTTTTTAAGAATGGACGTCGAGTAACGCCATTTAAAAAAATACAGTATAATAGGAAGTCTGCAACGTCGCAACCCGAGATACGTGGTTTGGTAGTTCCGCAATCGATATGCTTCACGAAAATTGTTGGCAAAATTTTGTGGGAAGCTACTAAAATTAAGCTGCGATGGACTCACGAACTATACCTATCGATAGAGAACTAAAACTGGTAAATTCATATTTCGGAAAACCTTATGAGACTGACATTCCGGATGTGACTTGTGTTTGCATTTTATATTAGTGATGAAGATGTTACCTTAATGGAGTTGCACTTGATTCCCAAAGCGATGGCCCCGATGACATCCATGGTGTAGTCACTCATGAGCTCTTTGACGTCAATTTCTGTCTGCCCTGTTTCCGAGCAGAGCGTTTGCAAATGAGCGTTTAGGTCCTCCGCACAGCCGCTCAGAGTCTGGTACATAATTTTCAGCTTGGCCGAGCTGAATGCCGGCGAGAGCTTATGCCGCACTGTCCGCCATTTTTCACCTGTAAATCCCTTCATTATTGAAAATTAAAGTAGTTACACTTGAAAAAACATAGTAATCAAATTTTTTTTAAAAAAACCTAATGGATCAGCAACGCAAAAAACGCAATATTTGATGGGTTCGCTACCATGCATATGAACATTTGAGGTAAGAGCTCACCCTTGGTAAAAATTGGCAGTACAATCTGTGTTCCAAAATACCATAGGCTTCTATAGCCGGCTACACAATTTCTTATAGCTTTTTACAGTCGATGGCGATTAAGCAACTCACAGCCAGTCGATAAAGTGTATGCTAAACGTCACTAATTACGGATGCTAGGACTTAGTGAGTTCTTGAACCACTGCTTTCTTTTTGGGTCGTAGTATCTTGAGTTATTTTGCGAGGAGAGCTGCGTACTTTTGAAGGATGCCTGCCAATCCTAATATTTTGGAGCGCCTTCAATTTTCGTACGATACTGTGCAATACCTCTGGTGTGAAATAGTTGCTTCAAGCGCCGTGGTACGCTGCGCCGGGCAGCCAGCGCGAAACGCGCATTGGCGCCTACAAACATAACAGGGATACTTCACGCATTGCGCAATGCGAGAAGTATCCCTGTTAGGTTTGTAGGCGATAGGTGCGTCGCCGCTCCGCTTTGTGCTAGGCTCTAATATTTAATCTCGCGGAGTCAGCGTTTTTCAGCTCATGATTTTGAAATGTTTGCACACTCTGTATGGACTATTCTCATTTTAATTGATGAAAAAAAAATATGTTTTAAAGGAAAATATAAAGTGTGTATTGTAAATATTAAGGTAGTTCCGTATCAAACTTAATGATTTCCAAAGCACACGAATTTCTATAAAATTCTTTATAGCCTTTTATTGCCAATGGCGATAAAGTGTAAAGCCCGGCGATAGGAAATATAGCCCGACTGTATACTTTTTTATAGCTTCGTATAGCCTCGTATAGCTCGTATAAAGTGTATGCTAAACGTCACTAATTACGGATGCTAGGACTTAGTGAGTTCTTGAACCACTGCTTTCTTTTTGGGTCGTAGTATCTTGATTTATTTTGCGAGGAGAGCTCCGTACTTTTGAAGGATGCCTGCCAATCCTAATATTTTGGAGCGCCTTCAATTTTCGTACGATACTGTGCAATACCTCTGGTGTGAAATAGTTGCTTCAAGCGCCGTAGTACGCTGCGCCGGGCAGCCAGCGCGAAACGCGCATTGGCGCCTACAAACCTAACAGGGATACTTCACGCATTGCGCAATGCGTGAAGTATCCCTGTTAGGTTTGTAGGCGCCAGTGCGCCGCCGCTCCGCTTTGTGTTAGGCTCTAATATTTAATCCGGCGGAGTCAGCTTTATTCAACTCATGATTTTGAAATGTTTTCACATTTTGTATGGATTATTCTCATTTTAATCGATGAAAACAAATATGTAGTAAAGGAAAATATAATGTGAGTTTTGTAAATATTATGGTGATTCCGTACAAACTTAAGAATTTACAAAGCACATGAATTTCTACACAATTTCTTATAGCCTTTATTAGCCGATGGCGAAAAAACAACAGCCAGGCGATAAAGTGTAAAGCCCGGCGACAGGAACTATGGCCCGGCTGTTTCATTTTTTATCGCTTCGTGTAGCCCGGCCGTATGATTTTTTCCACTTTCTACAGCCAGCTATATGATTTTCTATCGCCTTCTTCAGTCGGCTATAAGAACTCCTATGGTATTTTGAAACGCAGCTCCTATCGCCAATTTTTACCAGGGACATTCTAGGTGGCGGTATGCGGTAGCCACTCCTGCCTAATCCTTGAAAACTCCCCCTTAAAAGTGGGAGACGGAGGAGTGGCCGCTGCCAAACTAGTAATATACGAGAAAATTTTCAGGTAACTGATAAAAACCGATCTAAGGTAAACAATTTTTAATTTTTTGTTTTCGAGGCTGAACGCTTTCCAGTACTCTTAAGAGCTCTGTCGCTAAGTTTCAAGTCAAAATTTGAATTATTAACAAAGTTTTAGGCGTTTCAATTTCCTGAATCACTCCTGGGTCCGAAAAAAACGCGCACCTACAAACTCTAATATAACACCGGTTTTGTCTAATTCCCCGTTGTTCGCACTCAAATTGTGAATTGCTGGCAAAGGATGAATTTTTGGAATAGCTCGGTACTCTTTGGGCGGAATGATATGCAAGTAATTTTTCCAAGTTATGGTATAGTTATCTCTTTCTTATTTCCGCACGTTTAGGCACATGTTTACGAAGACCGACAGACCAACACATCTGAACAAGTTTTAGCCTTAATTCGATTGAAATTGCCAGTTTCAAAATTTGTGATGAAATACTCGGAGAGACACGATTTTAATCAACTTCATCTCAATTTAGTGGAGGAAATGCTAAAGATTTAGGAAATTTAGTTCAAATTCACATAAATTTGTTGAAGCTATTAAGCTTATTATATTAGCTACTTATACATAGCTACTTATATTAATGAGTATCGGCGAAGAAAGGGCTAAGAAAACATGAACATTCGAACGTTGCCAAATTTCCTTCAGTGAACTTTCTTTGCTAAAAAAAAAACCTATAAAAATGTTTCCTTCAAATTTTCTAATACTTCAAATTGAATTATAAGATTCTCTCAATTTCTCTAAGAACTTGAAAGCAGTGGATTGCTTACTCTACTTACCCACATTCTGACTTATTAAGGAAAAACGTCGCACAAGTCCTTGGAAGTTGCCAAAGTTCCCCTGATAAAATGTGCATCTGTACGCAAAGTAATTATTCGGCTTTCAAGCAGTGGCGTGGCGTGCTTTGTGATCGATTGGTCTGCTATTTAAATCTATGGAAAAGGATCGATAATCAGGGTGTTCGCAGCGAACGCCTTAATAATCGATTCTTTGTCATACGTGTAAATGGCAAAACAATCGATATATCACAAAGCACGCCACACCACTGCTTGAAAGCCGATGAATAATTACTTTGCGTACAGATGCACATTTTATAAGGGGAAATTTGGCAACTTCCAAGGATTTGTGCGACGTTTTTCCTCAATAAGTCAGAATGTGGGTAAGTAGAGTATATCCAGGTGCTGTCAGAATCAGTGCATGAACGTAACCGAGCAGCCTTTACTAATCTAAGCATCAATTTTTACCTGTGAGTTGGAAGATTTGGGTCCTGTTGAAGATATCTCCTTTCTCGTCTTGAGGGGGGTTCCGATCGTAAAAGTTGGAGAAGGCTTTGATGAAGACGGTCTTGATGAGCTCCGGATCTCGTATGATGATTATAGGGTAGACTAGCTGGAAGGCGCCCCCGAATCTGTGTCCATCCAGGGCTTTGTAAAACACCTCGAAGAATTCGAAGATGTTAATCTTTTTCATCGCTTTGGAGGAAATCACGAAGCTCTCCCAGAATGGGACGTACGGCACGCCACGTTTGCGCCAGTAGGTGAAATTGTTCTGCAGGTAACGCCAGACCAGGAGGACGGCCGTCAATGAAATCAGGATCAAACTCACCGTAAAAGGACCCATTGTCGGAATCTGAGAAAAACGAAACAAACTTTCAGAAACGGAGGCTCCACGCTCATCGATGCACTCGTCAAGTTGAGGAAATTGCCTGATCGGTAATTGAAGGCGTTATTGTATCTCTCATGCAGCAAGGAGGCTTACGCATACCAGCAGACAAACCGAATTTTAGACCAAACCAAAACATCTAGGACCAAGTTAGTTTCCGGGAAAATAACTTCACTATCATTACCGAGGGTAAATATATCGAATTGGGGGATGGTCTAGAAATCCCTGAAAATTTGAAGAGAAAACACATCTGCAATTGCGTAGAAATTGAAAGAAACGAACTGAAAAAGCAACTGAAAGTATTGCAATAATTATTAAAAACAACGAATTAAACAACCTTAAACTTACTACATGTAGAATTGATAGGCTGCTTCTTTAAGTTCTAAACTTAAAAAAATTGTGTATGTTGATATAGTTTCATTATTTTTACAAAAATTTTACTTTCCTAGATACTGTAACTTTCCTGTAACTTCGATTTGATAGCAGTCGGAGGCGGGTCATAAAACTCATTCTCTCCAAATCATGCTCAGCACATCGCGAAATTCAAATTGAAGCACAGAAGGTACTCACACCCTACGTCTGTATGAAACTATTCGTGCCCAGGAGATATCTCTGTAGTAAGAACGGATAATTGGACCGCGTTAAACAGAAAGGAACCAAGCCACATCAGCTATTGCCAAATTTAATTGGCTAGTTTAATTTTTTTTCATTAAAACGGTTGTGCGGATTTTCATGCAAACAGTGAATTTTCTCCATAGTACGAAGCAAATTCCTTAACATTTTCAAAGGGATCCGCACAAACGTTTTTTCGTAAAAAATTAAATAGCCCAGTTAAAATTGGCAATAGTTGATGTGACTTGGTTCCTTTCTGTTCGACGCGGTCCAATTAATAGCGCCCTGCAATTTTGGATCTTTGACGCCGAGCCGCAGACTGCGGGTGGAGTGATGAGTGTCCGGACTGTCAAAACGCCTTCACTGCAGTGCGTATGCAACACGGACATCCATGGAGCTCGAATAGTTGCATCCAGGAGTTTATGTGTTCAACGCGACATAAACTAAGAGCGTTTTCTTATTTCTCTTACATAAATTAGCTCCAGCTTTGCCTATTTTTTCGATGAAGTAAACCAATTATGATTTTTATCGCAGTATAGTTTCTTTCCCGAGCACGGCTTTGATTGTTTCAATGTATGACAACGTTGCTGTCCGTAAATGTGAGCTGCGTCCCTATCCTCTCTGATCTAGGAACAACGAATGCGGCAAGTAGTTTCATGGTCACTTCAGAAAGAATTCGAGTGCGCATCTCAATATACTCGAATTTGTATTTTTTCACAGAGAAGATAAAACAAAGTTCAGTCAAGAAAATTAAAATCAACCTACGTTTAGTTCAGAGTTCAGTGCGACAGGACCTAAAGTCTGTTGAAAATATGTCTTACTTTACTGATTGCTTCAGAATCATCGAATTAGAGCACCGGTGGACTTAGTTTATAAAAGATCGAAGTTATAAAGTTCTCGCATAAAGTCCTGGGTAAGGTGTTGCCAAAAATCAAATAAATTTTTCTTAATTCAGTAATTTGTGATTTCAAACAGCCCACACACATCTACTCTCTAAAATGTCTTATAGCCAAGCCTGAGGAATCCGTCCCTAGAAAATAGGATCGAGGGATAATTTGAATCACTTATTGAAACCGCAAATGGACTTCACGAAACAACAAAAATATTGGGAGGCGACCCGAGATATTTTTACAACTTTGACGGCGGGAGCTGGGATTAAATGACCGTGCAAAGCAACAGGAAAAACCCAAACTGCAGCGCCTAAACATAAACGGTACATTTTATTTATTTATTTTAAAAAATCGAATAATAAAAAAGGCTCGAATCCGCTCGCATTTGGCAAATCTTCAGACGCATCGCTACACTCAAAAAAAAAAAAAAAAAAAAAAAAAAAAAAAAAAAAAAAAAAAAAAAAAAAAAAAATTGACAATTGACCCTATGGATGTAAATTGTGGATCATCTCATAAAGAATTGCGCAAAAATAAACCAAACAGCCACATAGGTTAATTTTGTTTGTCAACTTGCTAGACATTTTGGGAAGTTAAAGGTCTTCAAAAAAGGGACTCACTGAAATGCAATTAGAGAAATTCGTTCTACTCAGAAAATCATTTAAATATGAAAATGATTGCCAACTTACTTTTGTTGAGTTAAACTGGGTCTACATATACAACCACCACGACTCCATCAATGGCGTGAGATCTCTGCTCCTATTATATTCATTAGTTAATGGCTAGCTTTTCGAGATACATGAAGAGCAAGGGAGGAGGGTCCGGATGAAACAATAGGTGTAAATAGCCGGAGAAAACAAATGCTATGAAACACGAACACGAAACTTCTGGATTTGGATCTTTGAGATAAGGTTCGATGTGCGGATTTCAAGTGCGCAACATTCTCGTTGCGTTTGAGCGCCCACTCCTGTGTGACGTAATCAATTTAACAAGTCTACGCTAACACCGACACGCAGTGACTTCGATGCTCAGATCGAACTTACAAGGCACAAAAAATGACGTACTCAAAGCTGCTGCACTCTTAACTATCCAATTGAGATGGTGTGAGTAAGCGCGGTTTAAGTGAGAGTGAAGCTTTCAGAGATAAGTGATAACGCAAAACGTAGATTAGATATATTCGATGCATCGTTAGGGGGGGCTTTAAAAGATGCCTTCTTATTCTATCCCATTCCTACCCAAAAGCTCATTATCTTTCAAATTTGACTAACCTAATGATAGTGGTGGGTAGTAGACTGAAACTGGGGGGGGGGGGCGAAATTTGGAAAAACAAGTTGCTCCGAAGGGTTTGCAGATCCCCAAAGAATTTTGAAAATCAGTTACCTCCAGTCGTGGGTATTGCAATTTTTGGGTACCTTCATAGTAAAACGGATGTAAAAAGAAAAACTCTGAAAAACGTTGAGGGGCGGCCATACCTTTTCGTTCCCCAACAGCCAACAAGCCACCACTGTTGAACTATTTACACTCTCTTCTTTTCAAAAATGCATGAATTAAAACTTACTTACTAGGCTATATTCTCTGATATTCTCAAGAACACTGCTCAAAAATTATTTAAAAAAACGAAAAAGAAAATAAAAAATACCAGAAGAAAATTTGAAAATATTCAAATTTCCATGCGGCGTTTTTCTTTAGGGCAGTGGCATAGCCTGCTACGGTTCGATCAGTGACTTGGCAACCGTGGGCAGGGCAAATGTTGCTTCATAGCAAATCAGAAGCTCCCTCCATGCTCCGTCCGCTCAGCGTGGCGCTCTGTAATCAGTATCACAATCAGATCAGTGGTCTGGTGGTATTCTTCCTGACCGCTTCTATTAGCGCACCTAACTATCGTGTATAGTCCCAAAACTCCGCGCTCCTCTCTCGCAACCCTACTCTCGCCTGATGTTCACATTGACGGTTACACGAATCACGCGTTAGTGGATCACGCTTGAAAACTTGTGTTGAAACGTCCGTTCGGGCGTTTTTAGTGATTTTGTGAGGTTTTAGATTGTGCCTATTTCTCCACCGATTACCAGGTAAGAGCGTGTTTTTTTTAATTTCATTAAATACAGCCCGAAACTACAAGTGCTCTAAGCTGTATACAAAGATAATCTATGTACACGGATGATAAAAGTTCGGTCGCAGGGACCAAATTATTGAAAATCGAACTTTTTTGGCTGAAGGAACAGTTCAGTTAGCGGAGTTTTTTGATCGTAGGAACCGAATTTCGGTAGGCTGAACCGAAGCTCGGAATCTGTGGTCGAATAAGCTCGGTGTTCAACTTGGGCCAAACTTTTTTACAGAGCGTAGGTTGTTGAAACGGTTACATAATTTATTTATACCCTCACTTTCTACATGAGATGTAGAAGAAAATTGTAAACTACGGCTTTGTTCGGATTTTTCATCTCACGTAATAAAAATTTCGTGTTTTATTTTTATTAATGCTGAAAATTTGATTTCGAGTGCTGTAATGCAGTATTTCGATAGATCTCCATGCTCTAAAATAAATTTCTCTTGACAGCTTTTTTCTAAAAATAGGATTATTTACGAAGTTATTACAAAGATACCTATTTACGATCGATTGGAAATACTGTCAAGACCAATTCCTTTTGTTTTGATTTTTTTGTAATGAACCGCTGGACGAGGTGCTCATTTAAGCATGTTGATAAATATTTCCTAATTAAAACTCCATGTAGATTATACGACTTGAGCACGGAGAAAAAAATTTCGTGCATGGAACCCGAAGTTGAGGTTATATGGATATCTGAAGTTTTCTGATCACGTATCCGAAAACTTGAGGTTGAGCTGCCGAAGTTTGAGTCAGACATCGAGGCACTTCGGCATGTACCGGAGTACTTCAGAAGTGTGACCCGAACCCTTCGGTATATATCGAAGTACTTCAGATGTCTGACCCAAACTTCGGCAGCTGGACCTTAAGTTTTTAGATACGTGATCCGAAAACTTCAGAGATCCATATGACCTCAACTTCGGGTCCCACGCACGAAGTTTTTTTTCTCCGTTAGTAAAGAAAATTACAGAATGCAACCTCCAACTTAGTTATTAATGTTTCTAGTTTACATTAGTTAGGGGATTTGAACTTCATGCTCACAAAAAAAAGATCTTAAAGTTTAGTGCACGATTTGACTTACTTTGGTTTTTTCACGAGCGGTAGGATTGAATCAACGCATCGCAAAATTTTATATATCTTAGTCAGGTGTTTATTTCAGTGCTTTCCAGTACTTTCAGTACTTTGCTCGAATCATGTGCTATGTACAATTTTATTGGAAAGCATTTATTAAATAACTCAAATTCGCACCGCCTCTAGCGGTTCATTACATTCATAATCAAATCCTCCTTTAGGGTGTTTGACATCGAAATATCAACCCATTTTGATTTTCAAAATTCCAAATTATTTGGTAAAATGATCTGTATATAAGTAAACTATACATTTACATAAGACACTGTGTTCTCTAATCCATCCAAAAGTCAATAAAATATTTTATTGACTTTTGGATGGATTAGAGAACACCGTGTCTCTTTTCCTCTCGCTTTTTCGCCAAGTCAGCCATATTGCCGTAAACATGGGTCTGACAGTTGAACATGCGCATTTTTCACGTTTTCTCAAAAATGTTTTAATGTTTTCTATCAAAGATTCGATGTTGTTTTTTGATCAAAGAGTAAGCTAGTATTTAGATGCAATGCAGATATGCCTTTTGTTGTACAAGGAAGGTCAATCGATGCAAAAATTTACACGGAAAAAACAACTTAGCGATGAGCCCTAACGCTTTAAGTATAAAATAGCGCCAACCACAGGCAGTTGTGCTGAGCCCTACCTACAGCTTTAGGGTCTAGCCCTACTGTCTGTATTTGGCGCTATTTTACCTGATATGAAAGGGCACAGCGCTCAGTTATTTTTTCCGTGCACCTTCTTATTTCATTGCGCTCCAATCAAAAACAACATCAAGCTTGAGGAAACTATGGAAAAGTGTCCTTTTTCGACTTCCAGATTTTTGTTTACGGAAATATACATAGATTGGTGAAGGACTTTAATGATCGGCTGAAACCAACATACTCTCTTTCAACCACTGTAAAAAGCACTGAAGTCACAGAAACTGTTGAGGCAGATTTTGGCCCTCCTCAATGGCACCCCTCTTTTTGCACCGATGACTATGAAGATCCTTTTTCGTGGGCGGTGACATTTGTTTCTGCTCTGCGCTGAAGAGCTGGTTGGGCTACAGCGGTGAAAAGTACCCGGATCCGATTAGCTGCTGATTAAAATTGCCACTCTTGATGGGATATTCCAAATTCCGACCTGAAAAATTGGTGGAAACTTGAGAGGATCCTGGACGATGAGGCAACGTGGCTGGCGATGCTCAGCCTTAACTCACAGTTAAGAGGCATACGGCAAATTAGTTCGAGTTGGTTGCATTGGCATTTCTGTTGACGCGCGACGCGATGCTCCCGCTGGAGTGCAACGAATAATCGTAGAATTTACATATTTGTAGCCGCGACGCCTTACAGTGGATCGTGTCAATTAGAGAGGTCGGACATGAAATTTTGGGCTAAAACTGCAAATTTTGACGTTTACTTCGTCACATTTTAAATTTCAAGGGGTGCTTGCAGTAGGAAATTTCACGAAAAAACCAATGTAACCACTTTAAGAACTTCAAAGTTTTGTATAAACGGAGTTAAACGCGTTTAAAGTTTCTAAATCTTGTCCGACCTCTCCTATTGACGCGATCGACTGTGCGCCGCGCCGACGCGACGCCACCGTGTGTCCTCTTCAAGGCTCAAATCGCACGCCGTCATCCACGGTGAATGCTCGTCAGATTTTCGTGAATTCTCTACTTCTCCGAAGACAGATGCATTGAAAAAAAAGTTCGATTGTATGAGCCGAACGCTCGGTGTTACATATATATCAAATTATTCGGTTTATCTAACTGGGTGAACTTTCGCCTTGTATGTAGGATCAAAATTTTGATTTGCGTCATCCAACTTCTCCTCTCAGTTCGGTTGCATTGAAGAGTTGTTTCCAACTGGTGATCGATCCTTTTCACACGGTGGAAACAAGAGCTCCAAACCGGATTTTTGATGACCCTAGCTTTTAACACTTAAAGGCTGATTATTGAAATTGATAGATAAAGCTCTAGAAATGGAGGACAAAAGTAGAATGGAGCAAATCTCGGTTGTTCTAAACTAAGACGGAAAATTTTGGGTTCACTGTAAGATATCCCTTCAGGAGTTGCCGTAATCTATTGCTTCCCCTCTACGTCCATTGCAACTACCCACCTCCTCCAGTAAGATCGTGTCATTTTGGCCTTGTTTTCTTTGCCTATCGCTTTGCTTATCAATACCAATAATCAGCCCTCTGACCGAAGAGAGCCGGAAAATTCATCAAATAAGCACCCCTCAGTTTCAACATAGAAGGTGCAGACAAAACGGTTTTTCTGGAGAAATTGCACGGAGATATAGAACTTTGGCTAAAACAGCCAAACTTTGGTGAATACAAAACATCAAGGTTTCTAGTCATAAATACCAAAATTGACCGCAGTCTTTGGTAAATAATACAGGTTTCAGTGTGGATTTCAAAAATTTGGTTATTTGAACCGAATTTCGAGTTCCCTGACCAGGAATTTTTGTTCCTCGTGCCAGAACATTTTGAACTGAATTGTTTTTCTCCGTCTGCTTTACACGTGCTACTCACATCAAAGAGATGATATGCGTATTAAGGGTTAGAAACTTCAGAGCAAAATCGTTGCATCGCCAAGAGTCTAGCCGTAATAGAGAGAGAGGGTGCTTCTATTTATGATTGCCCACACTTTGGTCCACGAGGACCCATAAAAATTGGCATATTGATACCAGAGCTGCATAGCTGAGAGTCTTCAAATATTTTCGACCAGTAAACGTCCAAGAATGGCGATCAAATTCGGAGTGACCGCAGTCCGAACTTTTCAATTCAAAAGTGTGTTTTCGAAAAAAGGAAAAACCTGTTAAAATTCTGATTAACCATGCACATTGGTCGGATTACGGTGAAAAATATACCGGATTATGATGGATTATACCGGATTATGATGCAAAAGGCCTTATAATAAAGGGTGTAAATTTGCATCACACGCTCATTAACGTTCGCTGGAAAGGAAACTCCCGAAATAAAACTTCCCGCACAATATCCGCGACACAAGTGGTGGACCTCTATTGATTTTGTCTCATTTTCTGCCTGCCCGCCCTCTCTTCGTTTTTCTAAAATCTTCGTCCGCGTAGACCAACTTGCTATAAATCTCGGCCAAAAGTCGCTCATGGAAACAATGTTGACTTTTTCTAAAGTGAGGTCCCCTTCACTTTAAAAAACTTGACACAATGTTTTGAATTACATTGAATAGTCTCGGTCTTACTTTCAGTAACCAGGTTGACTCGGTTTTGCCAGAGACTTATCTCAACATGGCATACCGCTTTTCCGAATATCGTAAAGCTCTCGAAAGTGTTGACGAAAGGATTGATGAGCTACAAGGTTACTGCGTCTATCTTGAGACTTCTTAGTATTTTGTTTATTTTCCCTTCAGTCAACATTGCATCATTTCGATACACCTAAATAGATGTACTGTTGACGGTGGGGAAAATAAACGAAATGTCACGAAGTAGCCAGCTAGACGATGGCCCGGAGGCAAATCAAGTTTTTTTTAGCTGTCTCTCTAGTAACATCGTCAATATCTTGTATAACCGTTTGAATAGGATCCATGGGAACCATCAATTATTTACCTCAGACATATTACTTTGAATCATCATAAAATTTTCCCAGATGATTGTGAAGGTGGGTGCATTTGTATCCATCCACTTTGCCTCAATTTTGGATGTGATCGTCATGGCTGCCAACATGAAACTCAAATGTTGTAGGCGTATCGTCGCTCGGAGGGATTCGTAACCGGAGGTTGGCAGTAAGTTAACAATTTGAACTAAATCCAGTCGCAGAATTTCGCCAACCGATGGTGAAACTGCAGAAATTTGTACCTCAATTGCGGTGTTTCAAACTCTCCGCTCC